GTCTGTGTGTCTGTGTGTCTGTGTGTCTGTGTGTCTGTGTGTCTGTGCGTCCGTGGTCGTACCCCCTCCATCAAGGGATGAACGAGTGAATAAATGACAAAAAGACCCCTGTTGCTCCCTTTCCCACGGACGCCAGCCCGAAGTCCCCAACAACCTACAAGGCAGTCCACGATCCGTTCTACTTGCATTCATATCGCGCTACCATCACGCACGGCTCAGTATTCCTCCACCTGAGAATTTTCTCGAAGAGCCTTGGCGCGATCGGCCGGGAGAAGAAGAGGAAGATGAAGCGGAAGATGACGACAAGGGAGAGGGTGTGGTGCCAGTTTCTCGCCCACGGCGCCGAACCTGGAGCTAGCGGTTCGTCCTTCCGCCTCCACGTTCGCCCACTGGCCCTTCTTGGTGTCGAAGCTCTGGACCATCATCCGTCGTCGAGATCGGCGGTTCTCGTCACCAATCTCGGCCGAATGAGCATCCTCTCCCACCTTTTGAGGGTGGTGCGCAGGGGATGCCCGACACGGCTCGGCGGATCCACAGTACATGTAGATGCAATCATGGCCGCAGGAGATGAAGGATTTCTCGTGGCGGTTGCAATTTTCTTGGACGAGCGCGTTGTCGACATAGAGAGGGGGGAGGGAGAGGGGAGGGGAGGAGGAGGAGGAGGAGGAGGAGGAGGACTTGTTGTCGGATACGTCCTCTTCCTCGTCCTCGTCTTCCTCATCACTGTAGAGCGGCTCGCTCTCCTCTACCAGCGCTGCGAGCAACTTGTTCTTGGGCTCGGAAAGGGGCCAGACTGCTTCTCCCCTGCCTGGGTAAATGATGGAAATGAACGGGTCGTTTCGGAGACAGACGCCGCCCTCTTCGCGGAAGGCGCTGTTGGCGGCGCTGGCACTCCTGCTTCGTCCGCCAACCCTCGAGGGGCCCGGAGTAGACGTCGGGCATTCAGGAGGCGGCAAAGATTCCTGCTCTTCTGGCGGGGTGGGGATCAGAATGGGGAGCGCCGAGAGGACTTCGTCGACGTCCAGATCTGCAGGGTGTCTGCGAATGGCGGAAGGCCGACTTGGAAGGTCTTGAGCTTTTTGAGGTGGTCGTACGACGGGCGCCGTCTGCACCGGCGAGAGAGTAAGTACGCTGGCGGAAGTCGGAGAGTAGGTGATGGTGCGGCTCGGCATGTTTGAAGCTGTACGTTTGGTGTCAGCGATGGTGGTGATTGCTTCACGGTGGTGATTGTTGTCTTGTTGTCTGGCGTTATTTGATGAGGCGAGTGCTGTCACTGTTGGTGTAGCTTGATGGCGGCGAGCGTAGTGGGAATCATCTAAAGGAATTCGTGCTTGTATTGCTGGACTGCATGGTTGTGTCGAACTAGCAGCACTACAGCTTCTTGTATACTCGTCCGAGACGGACCTGTGAGGACCTGCGACCCCAGCCTCGAGACATGAGGACTTCCATCCTGAGAGCGTCACCCCAGGAGCTGATGAAAAGTCCAGGTCCCCCTTACAAGGAACCAAACTTTCCGTCGTGCCGGAACCGACGGTTCGGTCGAGCCATGTGTTTCTTTGTGGCGGAACCAGACACTGGTGAGGACCTGGAGGTCGAGGTGGAACAAAGACTTTGCGTTCCAGATGCTGAGTTGATGAAAACGTCTGGGACAGGTTGCATGCAGCGCATTCCGTGTGCAATCCAGCAACCCTCTGGAGGTCCTTGTCGACACACTGCTTTTGGATGTTGTCGCCTGTAGAACTCTTCGCAGACTGCTCGTCTGTCCCGGCGAGTACGGGAGAATATGCCGGGGGTGGTCCGTGTTGCCCGAGAACAGCCAAAGCAGGTTCGGGCTGTAATATAGACAACGCGGACGAACTCTCTTCTGGTAGGCGCTCTGACACAACGATGTTGGGAATATTCGACGTCGGCGAAGAGGGTAATGTCTTGGACGCATCTTCCTTTTTGATAGTATTCTGCGCGCACATGAAAACTGTCAAAAACTGGTAGCTTCTTTCAAACTTGATTGGTTTAATCGACTGAATCCTAATATTGCTCCCGTTGAGCGATCATGCTTTCCAGGTTGCTTACAACGATGGCGTAAAGGGTCGTTATGGGTATTGTACTTTCAGAGAAACCAGAGCTGCTCGGCTTTCATTTTGCAGACATCCGCTTCAGTTGATCGACGAAACGGGTTGAATATGATCCTATCTGAATGGTTATACATTCGAAAACAGGGCCAGTTTGTCTCGATATATAGACTTTGTTGCTCGTCACCAAATTCGTCATACGTAGACAAACAGACTCCCCCATGGTGACCATGGGCTGTCCAGCTGCTGTTGGCAAAGTCACGGAGAGAAGGTATGCTGGTACTCTGGTTATGGATGCGGAGGCGGTCATTCATTGCCTCGATCAAACGAACACCATTCGGTGAACGGGAAGGTTTTGGTCATCAACTGACTCCTAGTGTTGATTCTAGTAGGAAAGGGCCGACGAAACACCCAGGAATAGGTAGACGGCATCAAAAACATGGAATACTCTGTCAAATCTGTAAAGAATGGCACACTGCCAGTACTGTGGACTGTTTAGCACTCCCCTTCAGTCCTTCTTGGTTCGACATGTGAGTAGACAACTCTCCTTCCTGCCACCCCCCATACCATCCGAGCACTGGCACTTTGCCTTGTTACACTACTAAATGCGCATACGGCGCGTGCTAAACAGTAATAAGCAATAGAACAGCAAACCATTAGTTTTTCCGATAAATTTATTCCATTGCGAAATCTCCTTTCGATCCTCACCATTGAAGAGTTACAAATACATAGATATGAAGATCTAGTTGAAGTCAATCACCCCTAGCAATTCAGGGGCAATCTGAATTGCATTTCCCGTTGTTGGCGTGTCTTTTGAGACCCGCGTTTATGAGGCATCTTTCGCGTAGATAGCCTTTCCTGGCGACGACGACGAGATTCCTCTTGTTGTACTCGCTTATCAGCATCCTTTTGAGCCTCCTGTTGAGCCTTCTGTTGATTCAGTCTCTCTCTTCTTTGAGCAGCGGCTAGAGTTCACTCCTTTCCCAAGTTCACTGAGCTCTCTACATTTGATCCTCTTACGTGCATCTTGAACTGTAATTGCACCTCGTTCAAAGACGTGTCTATGGCTATTATTTCGTAATTGGCGAACGAATGTACCTGCGGTCATATCCGGTTAGATTGACCTCTTATCTTTCATCGTACATGGGGGGATTTAGGCCCCACGGGTCGTTTGTCTTCATCCCCCACTTTTGAGGACGACCATTTTGGGCTGCCGACCCCACTCCATAAATCGTAGAAGGCTTTGTTGAAGACTTCCTGTCTAGATCTCAAAGGTTGAGAACGAACAACATTGATGGCCGGCGATCTGCGTCGACTGCGTTCCAGTGCTCCATTTGCCCACTTCTGGTCCTTCAAGATGGAGGCCGATCCCCCTTCCGAGGTACCTTCTAGATTAATTCAGAGGCTTACTCCGCCTTGCACGTTTCCCATCATTTATGTTAATTAGCTGAAAGGACATTGTCTTTGAAGCCCCTTTTTCCATAGCCTTAGTGATCCAGTCTTCGCCTTCTCGTCGAGAACGATACCAAGAGTCAATATGTTGGCGAGGACTTCTCCGGCCGGCTTTCGGTTACTCGATGACACTATGTTATTCACGCCACTGAAACTTGGGGCCTTAAATCTCGAACACCGTGTCATGATGGCCCCTCTAACCCGGATGCGAGGCACGAAAGAGTCTGAAGGCGTTTACATGCCTGGCGATCTCAACGTCGAGTATTACTCTCAACGAGCGAGTAAAGGAGGATTCCAATTGACTGAGGCATGCCCGATTAGCCGCCTGGTGAGAACCTGGTCCCTTGAGATTGGTGTCAAAGTCAGCCAACAATCTTTTTAGGCCTGTGGCTATCCAGGGGTTCCTGGGATTTTCACGCAGTCTCAGATCGCTGGATGGAAGCGAGTGACCGACGCCGTACATGCCAAAGGCGGTTTTATTTTCTGTCAACTCTGGCATGTCGGCCGTGCCACAGTCCCCTCGTTGCTCAATGGCCATGATTGTGTTAGTTCGAGCAACATTCCGCTTGCGGGCAAAGCTTTGGACGGCTCCGAGTATGCAGCCACTCCTCCTCGGCCGATGACAGTCGAAGAGATACGAGAAACCATTGAAGAATTTGCCGCTGCGGCCAAGAGGGCGATAGAAGCAGGGTTTGATGGCGTGGAAATCCATGGGTAAATCCTGAGTTCCTCAAATCACACATCCTGGAGCTAATGGATTTCTCCTAGAGCAAACGGATATCTTCTAGACCAGTTCCTCCACGATAATGTCAACGTCAGAACCGACTCTTATGGCGGATCAATTGAAAATCGAGCCAAGTTCCCATTAGAGGTGATCAAGGTAGTGACATCTGCAGTCGGAGCAGACAGGGTTGGAATTCGATTATCCCCATACAACTACTTTCAGGATACGAGAGACTCGAATCCCGACACACACTGGGCTTACCTCTGTCAGCAGATTGCTGAGCTTCCCGAGACTAACCGTCCCGCGTACGTCCATATGGTGGAGCCCCGGTTTGACGAAGTTTTGGACGAGGCCGCAAAACTGACGGCTCTCGTTGACGGGTCGTCAACCGTCAAAGTGAAGGATAAGATGCCTTCGCTCGTCCCTTTCCAGAAGATCCTTCAAAAAGGTGGGGTCAAGTTCATAGCTGCTGGCAACTTCAACTCCGACAACGCTCTCCCCAAGCTAGAGGCAGATGAAGCTGATGCCATCATTTTCGGTCGGTGGTTTATCTCCAATCCCGACTTGCCTCTCAGATTGGCAGAAGGCCTGCCGTTGAATCCTTACGACCGTAGTACATTTTACGGCGCCGACCCCCTGAGTAAGGGCTATACAGATTATCCCTTTTTTTCAGCTGGCAATAGTAGCCGCATAATCATCCAAAGTTAGCACCACAGTCTTCGCTACCTTGGAGCGGATTTTGTGCGCTCTATACTTCTAGAATAAAGGGGTCCTAATACCTCAATTGGGACCACACTCGATAAGCAATAAGGGAGGGAAAGCAAATGGCTAAATGGACTTGAGTTTGTGTATCTAGAAGCTAGCTATATACCGCTCTCTGTCGTACAACGATTGTAAAGGCTGAAATAAAGTGCCACGGTTCCTCGCTAGCTACTTAGCTCAAACAGTGAATAGCCAGGACCCGGATTCCGTTGGGGCTTCATCCCCCCATCATGCCTTGGCATCCTTATCTTTTTAACCAGGTCTTCTGCATGATCAGCTATTCATCCCCTCTTCTCACAGGCGCGAAGAAGAAAAAAGAGATTGAACATGTTCTCCTCAGACCTCTGCCCCTCGTAATAATCAGTGTTTGATGCAATTTGGACTCTCTAATCATTCTTCGCGCATGCCGCAACAAATATTGTCTCAAAATTGCAGAAATGGAATCGACAACAACTACAACAAAACCCAAAAAATACGTCTGCTCGTGGGAAGGATGTGGAAAGGGATTCACTAGGTCCGACCATCTCCAGCGGCATTCTTTAAATCACGGAGAAGGACATAGTACTTGTCCAAGATGCAGCTTGCACTTCAAGCGAGCTGATCTTCTAGGTATGATGTAACTTATTTCGTTAATGACAAGGTATCAGCAAACAGAACATCTGACGATGGTGACTTACAGATCGACACATGGCTCGACATCAAAGAAAAGATGAGGAGGCTGGCGGCGAAGGACTGGGTGTAGTGGAAACGAGAAAAAAGTTATGGCGAGATGCTAGTGGCAATATCGTGTGCAAACGCCCAAGCCAAAGAGATACTTGCAGGCCAGGCAAAAAGCGACAGCCTACGAATTCAAACGCTCTCCGTCAGCAAAATGGTGCTGTTGACGTCGACTACGGAAGAGCTCTGTCTGCAGAGCCACTTTCACCACCGCGATCGATGCTGAGCGGTGAATCGATGGAGCAACTCTCCCATCAGTTACCAGAGCTTCCCAATGACCCAGACTTTATCGCACAAACGTCAGGCCCTGACATGTTTGGATTTCTGGCCAACTCGTCATGGGGCATTCAATCCTCTAGCATGAACACCCAAATGGATGCACCTTTTAACGAAATTTTCAATCCCGACACAGGTGGGAAGATCTCCGTCCGGATAGTACTAGATCAGAACTAACAGCCCATACAGCAAGTTCATTCAATATGCCGTTCACGACAATGAACAACTATAACTGGTTATTTGATCTGAGTGACAGGACAAAGGTGCCTACAACTATGCAGCAATCTTTGAGTCAGTTTCCAGCAGGTCAAAGTGCAACTTATGGTCCTGATATGCAGACCATGTCCTACCAAGCGACTGGTCAAAGTGCCTTAGATGCATTCCGCTTGAGCACCGAGGCCAACGGAAATTCAACCTCAGCTCCTTCTTTTTATCGACAGACGGCATTGCAGCAGAGTCAGAATTCTGCCCAGTTTTCAGGAGACCACCAGTATGATTTTCCCGGATCCCAAAGAATGGCCCTAAATGCCTCTGCCTCGCCATCTTCTTTAGAATCCCAAGAAGGGTCCCATTCGTATCTAGGGACTGATTCTTCCTCTCCGACGAGTACCTCTCATGAAGAGTCTGCACAGGGCCACAAGCAGAATCAGCCAACAAGGCCTTTAAACCGTCAAATAAGCATACCTCAGTCACCTTTTCATCCCGAATCGTTCTCGACAGATCAGCCTTGGCGAAGCAAACCGAGAATTGATGAGACATCCCGGAATGACATATTGGATTTACTGGTAAATGCTCGCCCGAAGACACCAGACGGTTCAGAAATCTCCCCAGAACACCCGCTCCTGTCGCTCTCCTGCATGCAAAATTACCTGGATTTGTTCTTCTCCAGGTTCAATGTTGCCTACCCTCTTCTGCACCAGGCCAGCTTCAACCCGTCTGAGACAGAAACATTGCTCCTTCTAGCAGTCATATTGCTCGGTGCTACTTACAGTGAGAAATCAATCCACCGGCTCGCTGTTTGTATCCACGACGTCTTGCGAGCTCAGATATTTCAGCATCCGGCCTTCTCAGCGACGCCCGAACTGTGGATGTTGCAAACAATATTACTGGTCGAATGCTTTGGCAAAAGCAGGGCAGGTCAAAAACAGCATGATATGGCGCACCTTTTCCATGGTCTGCTCATCAAGTGAGTCAAATGACGCGCTAATCTTTAAATCTTTGCAGATAGCGCTAATGCTTTTCAGTCTGATTCGGCGAAGCGATTGCCAAACAGTGCGACAGCCAAACTTCAGAGAAGAATCTGGTGACCTCGAAGATAATTGGCGCAGGGCAATTGATGTTGAGCTTCGGAAGCGGTAAGGTCCAAAGTTCTGATTGAGGTGAGAGATAACATTTTGGCTAAATTCCCCTAGACTTGCATTCCTGTGCTTCCTTTGGGACACTCAGCACGCCATCTTATTCTCGCAGTCACTGTGTATGTCGGCTTTCGAACTTCGTACCACGTTACCATGTAATCAAACTACTTGGGAAGCGAGCACAGCTGAGGAGTGGTGGAGACACGCAAGAAAGGAAGCTCAGATTCCCTTCTTGTCTGTCTTGAAAGTTTACATGAACCCCGATTCTGGAGCCCAAATTCCTGAATTGAACGCCTTGTCTCGACTCCTTGTTCTCCATGGACTTATGTCGATTCAATGGGACCTTAAGCGTAGAGACCAAACTTCTTTAGGTGAGACATTAAACATTTTATTTCTTTCAAGAAACTGTCTAAGTTTAATGAAGGGGTCGGTACCTCCGACCAGCAACGATGGCAAGATCGACTTGCGCAGTCTTACGATGCATGGAAAGCAGATTTCGACACCTATTGTATGAACATGACATTATCTCTGAGCGACAGCTCATCGAGAAGGGCAGAATTTACGCGCTTCAGCACAGCGACTATCGCGATCTACCACGCAGCCCACATCACGCTGAACGTTGAAATTCTCGACCTCCAGATCTACGCTGGGGCGCGTCATATTATCGGACACCCCGTCACCCGGGCTGACTACGATCGATCACGAAGCGTTGTGAAAGCCTGGGCCAAACCCGGAGGATCGACGCCTGCAGCAAAAGCAGCCTGGCATGCTGCGTACCTCCTCCGTGACGGGATCATGAACCTCGAGAACTGGGACGTCAACAATGCCTTCCACTATCCTTGGTGCTTATACCTCTCTACCCTCACGTGCTGGGTATTCCACTTCGCTAATGTGGCCGACAAGTCGGCGGAGAATCCGCTGCGCAACGCCCAGGCCTCGAGCTTCGACAATGACCCTGCTGACAGGGTGATTTGGCATGCCAAAGCCGAAATGAATGCCTTGATAAGCAGCATGACAAGTGTGGCCCCGGGAGATCTCTGGCGCGTTCTGGGAAAGCATTCGACGTCGGGACTAGTGACAGTGATGTCGGCACATCTAGCAAACATCCGCTGGGCAGTTATTCATGAGGGAAGGAAGGTTTTAAAGGGAATTCCACCAGAACGGTCTTTTCAAGAGTATAATGCATGTCAAGAGTACAACTTAGACTAGAATTGAAATTCGTTTGATCGGGTAATGATTCATACATTTGGCTAAAGTTGATGTTGTATATCTTTGGGAGTCTGTCATCTATATTGTCAGTCATCTCTATCCCTCCTCTGTTCTTTCATTCTGATGATCAAAAAAGCAACAGACAAGAATTGCCTTTTAATAATCTTTCATTCTTCATCCTGGAGCTTGTCATGGCGTTCTTCCCAGTGATAGCGGCGTCTGGTCGTTCTCGCCTACCCTTACGTGTGAGGGAAAATATAAATAGTCGACAAGAGCAGCTCTATAAATTTTTAAGCACTGTCTTTCCCTGGTTGCAATACGAGGGAGCTTCGTCTGCTTTCTGGGTTCCCTTCCTCGATACTGACTTTATCAGATGAAGCCTCTCCATCTAGGTAACTTCTCACCTCGATAGCCACTTCGGCTGCAAGGCGAGGGTATGGGATCTCTGATCGACGTTGTAAGATGATTTCCCAGGGCTCAGGCTCAGATTCTGGTAGCTCCATGATGTAGACTGCGGATTCGACTCGAACGACTCTGTGCTGCTTACAGAAAGGCGAAGCACGACCTGGAAGATAGTAAAGGGACGCATGATGGGCTGACATAATTGCGTATCCTTTGAGATATGTAGACACGATACAATCCGATCAGGTCTTCCGGCTGGACCTGCACTGCTGTCCAGTTTGTTGCTGCCTCCATTGCGAATTAGGCCTGAGATTTCTACTTTAGAGCAGAGGCAAGTTGGGGTAGGGTACGAGGTGCTCATCTGGCACATGCCGCTCCCGTCCTAGACATAAATATAAGAGAATATTGGTTGGGTCTTTAACAGGAATGAAATTCCCCACAGGCACTAAGCCAATTTCAGTATAGCTCCCTATCATGTGCTTCAAGCTGGCTGTTAGACAGATCGAGTATCAGGGTTGCGAGATCGCCACCAATTTAGCCGTTGCCAGTTTGGTTGCCAGTTTGATCGTTAGCACCTACAACGCCATTTATATCATGCCATCTATCTGAAGCAGAATGATGTTGCCGTAGATGATGTCACCAGGAAACTTTCGGGAAAGGCTTTCCTGAAACAGGGCTAATGTGTATAAACAGGAAAGAAACTTGGTAAAAGGACGGATAGACAGACATCTATAAGAATAGACTAATGCTATCTATTCTATGTTATCAACATGACAGTTCTCAGTCTGACACTAGCGCTGAGTCCGAGGTAAGTCGAATCGGCGCTGTGCAGATTCAACAATCATTACCAAGGACGAGGGTCGGCGGAATGGAAGTCATTGCTGTCAATCACAGGACTCATTATTACTGCTCATACTAGTTCTAGGGAGCTTGACTTGGGATCCGGAGTGATTTCAAAGGATATCCCCCACTCTTGATTGCGAGGCTGCCTTTCTCTTCCCCCTTCGGTGTAGAGAGCCTGTGAGAGCTTATCTCTTACTACACAGGGGTAAGGCCAACAACTATCTCTGTGGTAGGAATTCCTCCACTTTTCGGAGGTTCGTACGAATTGGTTCGCGAATAAAATAAACTTTGGGGTTCCTCGCGCGAGTGAGCTCTTTGTACTGGTAAGGCCCATTAAAAGAGACATATTGAGCTCTCGGATTAATTTCTCCAGACTAATATCCAAGACCAAGGTCAACAAGCTTTTGTTACTATCCCCTAAGCCCACAGAGATTGAGAATATGATCGAGCCCGCCAACATTCCACTTTTCTCGTTCGCCCCCTTTCTGCACGGAAAGCCGGATACCCAGAAAGCTTTAGCCCAAGATATTTTCAAGGCTTTCTCTGATGTCGGTTTCGTCTACCTTAAAGATTATGGTATCCCTGCCGAGGAGGTTGAAGCTATGTTTGACTTGGTGAGCTAGACTCTGAATCTCTGATGCTTCGTGTATAATTGGGAGATGGCTAAGAGAGCAAAATATGGACAGACCAAGAGATTCTTTCAGCTTCCGATGGACTTGAAGAAGTCCTGGAAGATCGATAGCGCAAACGCGAATCAAGGATATAGCCCCGAAGGTGCTGAGGCTGGCGATGGTGTCGATCATAAGGAAAGCTAGTGAGGACCCGTAACTAACTTAGCCTCTCTCGCGCGTTAGGAAGGCTATGACCATTCTGACCGCGAGAATTAGCGAGCACCGCCGTAAGCAAAACGACAAGTGCCCCACCGAAGAACAAATGCCTGGCTTCAAAAAGGCTATGGACGAATTCTACGGCAAATGCCTAACACTATGTGAGCAGATCTTGTGCTGCCTAGCCATGGCTATCGGCCTGCCAGGGGATTTCTTTCAGGCTATGAGCGAGAATGCAGACCCCCAGCTGCGCATCTTGCACTACCCTTCCATTCAGCGTTCCATCATCGAACAAGACAAGCATGCGCGCATCATTCCTCACACCGATTTCGGCTTCTGCACACTCTTGTTCCAGGACTCAATCGGCGGGTTGGAAGTCGACTCACAGCATGATGGAGTGTTCCATCCCGCCGCACCAATCCCGGGTACCGTGCTGATCAACATCGCCGACCTACTCCAGAGATTGAGCAACGACAGACTGAGGAGCACCATCCACCGCGTCGTGGCGCCCCAAGCTAGTGGAGATGTCCTGCCTGCAAGATACTCGATCCCCTTTTTCTATCACCCGTCCCCTGAGGCGACCATCGACCCCATTGTCATGGGCGAAGGAGAGGTCAAGAAGTACGAACCAGTAAATGCCGGTCACTACCGCTATCTCAGCAAATTATCAACCTACCCAGAGCTCAGGGTGTTTGCGGAGAAGGCGCCAGAGGTGGGAGTATAGACATGGATAGGTTCATGGAAGACTTTATGGACGAGTGACGCGACAATTTCCCATCGTCCCCACGTGCCTTGCAAGCGTGCTACGTAGTTGAAAAGACATATTCAAACATTCTTAACGAACGGATTACCTGACTATGTGAGCCAGGCCCAGAAGTCATCAATATCAACGGCTAGAATAGTCACTAGTGCAATAGACAAGAGAGACTCTATGTGGGAGTATTGTAATTGGAATATTCGTATTAAGAATGTTGATATCTCGCACGGCTCACCTTAGAACTGCGTTGTCCAAGTCGCTTGCCATTTATTCCAAGCAGATCCCCCCCTCGATCAATCAGTTTGCGAATAGATAATCCATAGACGGATTTATTGTCCACTCTTCTGAAGCAAGATTCCCACCAATGCTGTAGATAAGAGTCTGGAGACAAGGCGAAATCCCCGTTTTCCATGGTGGCAGGCCAGTATAAGCTACGATAATGCTTGACTGACCTTATCTTCATTCTAGGGCTGCTGTATGTGACTATCTGTTGACAGGGTTGCAGGATAGTTACTGTGGCTGACCACCTGAGACGCTAGCTGTCACACCAACTGCGGCACTTACCTCAACAACATTCTTCTCACCGACCTGCCACGGCCTGGCAACAGAATAGGAGGTTTTACGAATGGGTCAGATTACAGGCCAAAGTGTTTATAAACAGGCAGAATCTCTCTGAATAGCCAGGGGGACAGAACACAATCAAGCAGATAGATCCACTACTGATCTGTGTACAACACCATCCCCCTTTCCCCCCACTTTCCCAATGCTCACTGGTCGACAAAGGGCATGAAGAGCGTTCCACTCAATTTTTGCGCCGCGAGTACATTAACAATTTGCGTCACATTCAAATACAGGGGCGTTTATACTGTTCCTAACATTCACATGAAATTAATACCTCCACCGTATGAATGATATAAAAACTATACTTATCGCTGATTGCAATGAGGAGGGCTTGCTACACCAGAGTATTTGATATGACTGGCGTGATCCTGCGATTGTTCCAGTTCCGGGCCATGTAGACTAGAAAGATAACGACCCCACTCATGGGAAACAGCAGTCCGTCGATACCATAACTTTTGAGATTCCATCTATTGTGATGATGATAGGGCACCCTCGTCGTACAGGGTAAGTGGTATAGTGAATCCCATACTTGCTATTGATATCCAAGTCTTCTTCCATTTTAAAAGGGTGTCATACACTACATCAATCTATTCAATTTGTTCCATTGTTGCAACTTACGCTTGAATATTAAAACAGAAAACCCTGGCCCGCGGCAGCCGGGAGTTGCCATTATTATCGAGTCGGAGCAGTCATCTTCGCGGAGCCTGGATTAAAAGGTTCAGCTTGAGAGGGTTCCAGTCGGCCACTATGTCCAAGTCAATGGCTGCTGAGGAGATCCCTTCCGAAGTGGTGAGGGACAGCGACGCCCTTCACCTAGCGCAATTGGGCTACAAGCAGGAGCTAGACCGGAACTTCAGTCAATGGACTCTGATATCGTTTGGTGTGACTCTTTCTGCCACTTGGGTAGCTATCGGAGGGGCTTTAGGGACCGGAATCTATAATGGCGGTCCTCCTGGAATCGTTTATGGATTTGTGCCATTTCCCGCAATCTCAAACAGAATTAACGAGTGTAACTGACGCTGCCAGATTCTGGTTTTCTTTGGCCAATGCTTTGTTGGAGCTACCATCGCCGAGTTTGCCTCCTCGTATCCTACAACTGGAGGTCAGAGTGCACCGTTTGACTGTGGCCACAGAAGAAAGAGAGCCCACTAACCTAAATAATCAGGCATGTACCATTGGACTGCCATGTTGGCTCCCGAGAAATACGCCCCGACCCTGTCATATATCACGGGATGGAACACCGTCTTGGCTTATATTGTGTCTGTGGCTTCTGTTACCTGCGTCTCTGGCCAACAAATCGTGGCACTGGCAGGAATTGCCAAAGAAGATCTCGTGGTTCAACGCTGGCATAGCTTCCTGACCATGGAACTCCTCAACTTGGTGACCCTGATTATGGTCGTATTCTTCAACAAAATATTCCCCCTATTGAACGGGGTCGGACTGTGGTGGTTTCTATCCTCTCTTGTTATCATCTCAGTCACGGTTCTTGCCATGACGCCAGGGTTCAGATCTCCACACGATGTTTTTGTGGAATTCATCAACAATACTGGGTGGTCCACGAATGGCATGGCCTTCATCACTGGCATCGTCAACCCGCTCTTTGCTATATCCGTGCTGGACTCAACCTGTCATATCTCGGAGGAAGTCCCAGAACCCGAAAAGAATGTGCCTAAAGCAGTCCTTTACACACTGATTGCGGCCCTTGTTGAAGGCTGGCTTTTTATGATGGTCATCTTCTTCTCCTACCAGGATCTGGATCTTATTCTTGAAAATCCTTGGGAGTTGCCGATCGCGGAACTTTTCCACCAAGCCACAGGAACACGCGCAGGTACTTTTGGCTTAACATTTCTGCTTATGGTCTCGGGGTTGTGGACCGTGTGGAACTGTCAACTTAGTCAGGGGAGAATATACTGGTCCTTCGCTAGGGATAACGCTGTCCCGATGAGCCGGTTCTTCAGTCACGTCGATAGCAACTTGAAAGTCCCTGTTCGAGCCCATTTACTCTGCGCATTCATTGTGGCACTTCTTGGGCTGTTGTATATGTGGGCTGAGACCGCATTTGCCGCATTTATTGTGAGTGACAGACAGAATATCGGGGGGTTCTAGCCGAGAGTGCTAATCAAGCTATCTTAACTCCCAGTCCTCGGCCAACATATTCTTCAACATCACCTACCTGATTCCTCTGGTCGTGAACATCGTCCGCCAGCGCCGCTCGTTGGTGCCGGGCTGGTTCTACATGCGCCGCTTCGGGATGCTGATCAACATCATCGCAATGGTTTGGCTCCTATTTTTGATCGCTTGTCTGGGGCTTCCATACGTCATGCCTGTTACACCTGAGAACATGAATTACACGTAAGTCTTGGTCCTTTTTGCTAAATCCCATTATGTGCTGAAAAAATCAATTCTCAAAACAGATGGGTGATTGTCGGCGGGGGTCTCTTATTCGAAGTCGTTTTATTTGCCTTCAAGAGACGGGAATACAGAGGACCAGTCCTCAAAGGTTTAGAAGTGGTTATGGAAAGCGAAGAAGTCCTTGATGTCCATGATTCCGACAATCCTAAGAAAAAGATTTGACGAGATCTGGTCCGATTGTCAGTGGATCGCTGACTCACCGGCCAGTTTAGACTGGAGAGCAAACATTGAATTCGAGGGGAGGAATAAAATTGCGCCTAAAGACTGGGAATTGACGTGTCCGGGAGGGTTTGAACTCTGCAATCCGCTGGGAGATTATTACGGGTTTTAACCAACCCAAAACAAAAAACGGTCGAAGTACAACAGTAGCTACTACCTGATAAAATGTTATTATTGACAGGGACATTACTTCTGACAATAGTATGCTTTTTCGTCGCTGATATATCTCGATGAAATTTCATGTTCGGGGTTGACTACCTGCTAAAAACAAACAAACAAAACCCTTATAGCTGCTGGTGACGGGCTGAGGACTTGATTTCACGAGCGCCGCTGACTTTGCGGCAGATAAAGATCATTCTTTGCGGATCAATTTGTTACTTGGTCATAACAACCAGACATCTAAAATCCACCAAACAAGTCTTATTTGAAATTTGAAGGCCCATTTGCAATCTCTTTCCTTCCCTATTCCTCAACGACTGCCATTGTTCTACAATGGTGCCTCCCCCGAGGCTAACCCAAATTTTGGTCGACTCGACAAGCTGTCCAATTCTAGTCCAGGTAGAAAGATAAATTTGCCCCTGACTCCTCTATCTCAGTAAACCCGTTTCCAAAGTACTGGTAGCGGTTCTTGGACCAGTACTTGATGTCGTAGTCTTCCCAGCGCGGTTCGGCGGTTGTGAAGCGGTAGTGCATCGCTGAGCCAGGGTACATTGCCGTGACTGGTCCGTCTACCGTACCGCCCTTGATCTCGATGTCAGCTTCTTAACGGAACTCAAGGGAGCAAATCAGGAGGAAGGAGGGGTGAGTGACTGCCAGACCACTCCGACGACAAAGACTCACCTTGTACCAGCTTCTACAGCCCGATGTCCAGACCGTCTTGCCCATGAATGACTGGGAGTATGCAAAAAATTCGTCTACAGCTTCCTGCTTAACGTCGACAGCCTTGATCTGTTCGGCCAGGATCTTTTTCGTCACCTTGACGACGTAGTCGGCAGTGCATTCCATCATTGGAATCAAGCTGCCGTGTCCTGTTGATGGAAAAGGTCAGATGACTGTTGATAGTCTCAACCAAACGAGTTCGTCTCTTACCAATAGGACATGCGGGTCCCATGAAAATAAAATAGTTTGGAAATCCCGATGCAGCAAGACCAAAATAACCCCTGGGGTTCTCCGCCCACTCCTTGCGCAGGTCTCGACCATGGCGTCCGATCAGTGGGAATCTAGGAGGGAATGACGTATCGAACCCGGTGGCGGTTACCAGGGCGTCAAGCTTGTGCTCGACTCCATCGACTGTTATCAGTCCTTCCGGCACGACCCTTTCGATCTCTTGCAGCACAACCTCGACGTTATCCTCCGCCAGTGCTTCGAGGTAGCCCTCGCCAGGCGAGAGGCGCCGGCAGCCAGCTAGGGAAACCAAAAACCGTCAACGTGAAACTTGATAAAAAAAAAGGGGGGGGCAGGGCCTCTAGATCAACTTACGCTGCCAAGTTGGGGTCAACTTTTCAAACAATTCTGGCTTCTTGGCCAATCTTTCCTTGTGTAGAGCGATGGATGCGTCGTACAGGCCCTGCTGCTGAGGGGAATCCTTGAGCAGTGCGTAGAAAAACTTGTTCATCTCTGAATCAATCTGGCGGCGGTAGTCTCGGAAGTATGTGCGATCTGTCCGGAATCTTTCCTTGTCCTCCTCGGTATCTGTAAACAGTTTCCCAAAAAGAATCAGCTGTCTGCCCTTTACCAATTCTCCAATACCAAAGACACAAGGTTAACGTGGAGTAGACAGGATTCGCACATTCGAAATTTCGGCCGTTGTCCACCTTGGACTTGTGGCCGACATAGGTGGGAGATATCCAAGTGGGTGACCGAATGATGCAGACTAACTTCTTGACGACTTTTTGAAGTTGTGGAACGATTTGCAGGCCAGTCGAGCCATTTCCAATCACGCAGACAGTTTTCCCTGTCATGTCGTAGCTATCGTCCCATCGAGCGCTGTGGACGAGATGGCCTTTGAAATCGAAGAGCCCTTCGATGCTGGGCCAGGTCCACTGATTAAGGATGCCGCAGGCATTGACAAAGATATCGCAGACATCATCGATGATGGTTCCATGCTGGTCAATCTTGACGTGCCATTTGGCTTCGTCCTCGACCCATTTAGCATCGACGACTTTGGAATTTAGTTGGAAGAATTTCTGCAGGGCATAATTATCCACGGTATCCTTGATGTAGCCGTGGATCTCTTTTGCTCCCACGTAGTAGTGAGACCAATTTGGGTTCGGGCTGAAGGTGAAGTTGTAGCAATGGGCTGGGTTGTCACACGCCGCTCCAGGATACCTGTTCTCGTACCACGTACCGCCGAGGTCGGGCTGTTCCTGTATGTAAGAAATTTGTCTTTCCACAGGTTCCGAGGACCGGATCAATAAGGCTTAAGTCACTCACATTCTTCTCATAACAGATAAGCTCGACAAGGCCATCCTTGGTTAACCCGTATTGGTGCTCGAGTTTGTACGCCATGATGATACCACTCATGCCTCCTCCAGCGGTTACAATCCTCAACTTCCGCTGGGGGACGAACAGAAGATGGGAGCCGCATTGAACAGAATGCCCGATTGGGAGGGTGGGAGCAATCTCACCCATTGGTCTCGAATGGGAGTCGGATACCTGAGGATAGTATTCAGTGCACTTGAACCAAGAGGATGACTTTAAATTAGACAGACGGCTCTGAACTAAATTGAGCTGGGGAAATATCTTAAGTTGCTTGCGGTTTGTTAAAAGGTCGGTCGAAAAGGACTCATTTAGCTTTCCAAGGTCGCCGCCATATACATCTCTTGATAGTCTCGAAGCCAACAGAGCATGCGAGAAATCTGCTCTAATGAAAGACCATATCAAATGATGTTCTAGGTGGGTGCCAGGCAGTCTAGATTAGAAAAGACGGAGAGTTAATACTACTCAAAAGTGGGCAAAGAAGATACGCGCATCAGCGGATGGAGTCTTGACCCTTCGTGGAGTGATAGATACGGGTATCATGGTTTAACAAACTGCGGGACCAGCGCTCTGCTCCGATTTCTAGGTATCTACCGGGTAGATACTCAGGCATCAAGATTTCCGCCTCTTTGATTCCTTCATGGATTCTGTTTGATATCATGAGAACAACATCAATTCGCCCAGATTTCAACGTCTCGCAGCAAATGTGGCATTTAAAAGCCGGTTCGTATCTTATTTTTGAATAGTGGGGGAGAGAATTCCGTTTTAATCCAATCACTAACTCGTCGTGATAAGTTATTACGAGGATCCTTTGGGTCAGCTAGGGGCCTCGGTGTCTTGACCCACAGTACGAGGTAGGCCTGTCCATGACAAAGTGGGGGATTAATTTGATGTCGCCAAGTCGCTCAATAACGAGGTGATACGGTCTATGAACCTAATTGATTTGGATATTGGTGCTCGGCACTGATAAGCATGGAGAGGGCAAATGTGCTCTTGCCACCTTCTGGCCCGGCGAATAGCAACGACCATGCCACGCCTAGAGACTATATCTAAAGAGTTTGAATCCCTAAAGGCAAGGTAGTCGCTTACCGGTTTCGAAATCTTGAGATCAAATTCCTTTCCAGAAATTAAAAGAGAGTACGCCGACCCAAAATGAGCGACAACAAAGCTTTCCCGGTGCCGACTCTGGAAGAGTCTAAAGAACATCACATATCAGACTCACCGCATCATCATGCGGCTCCACATGATTATCTCTCTGTCGTCGAGAACGGTCTGATCACGGACGTTACAATTCCAAACAATAGGTTCCAGCGATGGGCCCTGCGGCTCGAAACTCTGGCTAGAATGGAGGCAAGGGGCATTGAACGCGTCCCCGAGACGCTCAAGGCCGAGAAGGTAACCATGGGAGATTATGTCCAGATGTGCCTTGTCTGGTTCTCCGCCAACCTCACAGCCAACAATGCCATGATTGGGATGCTTGGTCCCATCGTCTTTGGCCTGGGATTGACAGACGCCATGGTGCTTGCCACATTCGGCGCACTCTTGGGAGGTGCTGCAAGCGGATACATTGCAACATTCGGTCCTGTGAGTGGGAATCGGACTCTGGTATGTGTTCCTTCTGTTTTTCGTTCTGGAAAAGATGTTCAAAATGAAAATAACTGGTGATAGGTCATCTGTCGGTATACTATGGGATGGTGGCCATCCCGCCTCTGCGTTGCCCTCAACATTGTCATTATGCTGGGCTACGGTTTGATCGACGTTCTCATTGCTGGGCAGATCTTGTCGGCTGTGAATGGTGGAGGTATGACTGTCATTGTCGGTGTCATCATATCGTCCGTCATCTCTCTCTTCATTGTTCTGTTTGGTATACGCCTCTTCCACCAATACGAGCGCTGGGCATGGGTACCTCAAGCCGCCGTCTTCCTCATTCTGGTTGGTGTTGCGGGCCCTTACTTTGACCCAAGTTCGGTCTCGACTGGAGGCGGGAGTGTCCGCTCAGCTGACCAGATGAGCTTCTTCTTTTTGTGCGTTGCGGGTCCCCTCGCATGGTCCCCCGCCTCTGCAGACTTCTATGTCTACTTCCCAACATCATCGAAACGCTGGAAAGTCCTTATCGCAACTACCATCGGCCTAGGGGGCTCATGCGTCATCTCCAACCTGATCGGCATCGGCCTCGCTTCAGGGATCCCGCTCAGGCAAGCTTGGGCAGACGCAGTCGAGATCAGTTCAGGTGCCCTCTTTGTCGAGGCCTTCAGACCTCTTGGGAACTTCGGACACTTCTGCTCCGTTATCCTGGCATTAGGTCTCATCTCTAATAACGTTCCCGGAACCTATTCGGCAGCGCTGTCTTTTCAGCTCTTGGGCCGCTGGTTCAACTATCTCCCGCGCGTCTTCTGGACCACCATAGCCGTCGTCATCTACACCGTCTGCGCCTGCGCGGGCCGCAAGCATCTCTTCACCATCGTCGAAGGTTTCGTCGTCATCATGGGATATTGGACTGCGGTGTGGGTGGCCCTGACCATGGAGGAGGAATTTATATTCCGACGTGGGACCAGAAAGTACGATTGGACTGACTGGAACGACAAGAACAAGCTCCCCATCGGAATCGCTGCCTTGATCGCTTTCTGTGTTGGCTGGGTTGGGGCCGTCTTGGGGATGTGGCAGACATATTTCACCGGTCCGCTGGCAAGATTGGTCGGTGACGGTATCGACCTGGGCATCCCTGTAGCAGCCTCTTGGGGTGCGCTCGTGTACCCGCCCTTGAGATATCTAGAATTGAAGTACATTGGCAGATGAGCGTCTCGAGGTGTATGATTTGAGTGCCTCGTGCTTCTACCTAGATACATGCTGAGACAGGGGGAAGAGGTGCTGAAGAACGTGTCCGATTAGGCAGAGCAGGCATGATTAGCGATCATCAATATGGTGGACTCCTAAGCCCTCAGACGTGATATTTACGGTTCTTCTGTTTTTGAAGTGATCACTTTCTGGCTGAAATATTGACGGATCCTTCCAATATGGCTCGCCATACTGGATGAAGTAGCCTCCAAATCTTCAAGTCATCACCCTTCGGAGTTTTGCTAAAAGATCATAGACACGTCTCTCCTGTCCTGGGATTCTCCCAAGCAAGAGTGGGTTGCAATGCTCTGTTTCACTTTGTCCAAGCACTAACGTTTCTTATATAGACGATTTGCTTCCAGCCTCTATTGCCCCCTTTTCTAGTCCCTGAATTGCGCTGCCGACTCCTGACGGACCTGACCTAGTTTCTCCTTTTCAATGGCTTTTGTTTTGCTGCCGGCCAGCGAGCTGCCAAGGCAGGAGTGATTTGTCACGGGGCTGTAGAACTCGTTGACTAGTTGGTTGGTCGGCAGAGTCATTGCAAGCTGCTGTTGTCTGACTGACTCGCAATTCACACATTGATCTCCGTGCACAAGGTCTTGTGGTCACTAATGGCAGCGGCTCTGCTCGAAGCCGTCTGTTTAACCAAAATCTCTGAGACCTGAGATGGACCTCCTTTCCCTCTGTTGTATTTTCGATTTGGACGTAAAGCTTTTATTTCTATTCAAAAACTTACAAACGTGGCAGCCTCGTCAAGCCACCCTCTATCTAGCCATTACCAAGACAGCCTCCATCTAATATTACCTCCTCTAAAAAACTTCGTTCTCGATGAACTCTTTCCAATCCTTAGCATATTCCGTACTTCTGATCCCTTCGGAGTAACGAGACAGTAGGTCCTTCGCGTTGTCCCACGCTTTAAGCACTCGCTGCGTCCGCTGCGGATCTCTCTCTATCAAACGGTATTTGAACGGCTGCGGTCGGCAGACGATACCTTGGGTCACGGCGTCCGTGTTTACAGGGATTTTCTGTCCACTCTCGTCGATGTCGTGCTCGAATGTGAATGTCCACAGCATATATGCAATGCCCAAAAACAATGAGCGCTCGGCGATATTTAGTCCGGGACATACACGTCGGCCTGCTCCAAAAGTGAAATGATCTCGTTTATAAGGATCGTTGAGTGTGGCGCTTTCTTGGGCTCGGAGGAAGTCGTCCTTATACCGGTCGGGATCGAACTTTCGGGGTTCAGGATAGCGTGTGGGGTCATTGTTCAAGGCCCAGACGTTGATCATCATGCCCGTCTTAGCCGGGAACGTGTATTCGCCGTATGTGTCTGCGTTGGTAGTAGCATGAGGTACGATACCGAGAATACTCGATGGCAAAAAGCGCAATGATTCTTTAACCACGCCCCGGATATACTGTAAAGCAGGCTAGCACTGTCAAAATTTGTCTGTTGAAAGGAAACGAAATATCTTACCTCATCTGCCATAGTGGGGAGACGGTCAGAGCCAATTACCATATCGACTTCTTCCTGGGCTACTTCCTACGTTAGCTGTCGAATCAAGGCACCAGGCAAAAAGATTCCACTTGCCTTTCTTCTGGATCTCCGGAAAATTAATCATCGCCACAGCGAAGGAAAGAAAGATCGACGCCGTCGTATCAGAGCCGGCCTCCAGCAGCGTCCCACTAACATAGCTGGCCCAGTCGTCGGTAAAACCGATCTTTTCCTGCTGTTTGAACATGTCCTCGCAGAAGTTCTTAGTTTGAATTCCCTTGGCCATTCTCTGCTTGACCTTGAGCATATAGCTCTTGTAGAGAGCAATTTCCTCCTTGTGGAGCTCCTTCCCGCGTTTCTTCGAAGGGTTGAAAATGTCGGGGATATTCCGTAAGATTGGGAAGTAATCGAGCATGGAAGCTGAAATTTGGGACGCCAATGCAAATTGTTCAAAGCCCTATAAAATCAGAAAACAATGAGTTGCAAGTTCTCTGAATCAGAGTCTCCATTATTCTGCCCACCTCGTAGATTTGCTTCACGTCAGGATCGTTGAACGCTAGACTCCTCCACCCGAATGTTATACTTGTAACGAGTGAAGTGCTATACCGACGAACATGATCGTGGTAGTTATTCGGCCGCCTGGCCATATCTGCCAACATCTGCCGAAGTTCCAGCTCCTGGTATGGAATGTATTCGACAGCAGTTTTGATGTTGAGAAGGTTGTGGATCATTTTCCGAGCCTGACGCCAGCCTTCGTCGTACTGCATCAAGACCAGCCGGTATCCGCCGGAAATTAGCGTCTGACCCACGTACATTTCAGGTCTCGACGAGTAATTGTTAGAGCGTTGGTCGATGAGATCTTTGACCACCCGTGGTGAATTTAGCACGACCATCCGCTGGTTCCCGAGCATGACGGAGTAGATCTCTCCGTACTTATCGGCCCATTCCTTGAATTTGAGGTGGACGTTCTCTTTGGGAAGTTGATGCAGATTTCCCACTATCGGCAGTGTTCTTGGGCCTGGTGGCATGCCTTTGGGCCTCTTACCCATCTGGAGACATTGGTATACAAGCCCTGCGAGGACTGTTAATACCAAACAAAGATAGTATGCTTGAACTGCCATGGTGGCTTGTAGTGGCCTCAAACCCATGTACCGAATCAAGAATAAAATCCAGAACGACGACACCGACACTGACGAAAACTGGTTTATAACTCACCATCATTGTTTGCTACGCGTCAGTACTGGGTACCTCGAACTTGCCTTACGGAAGTGACCCGTTGTATCGCAGTCCCTATCAAGAGTGCAGGTGGGCTTCTCCACCAATTATGGCAGACATCATCACATGCGCGTGATAGAGTGCGAAGCCGTAGGCCAATTGCAATCTCGCCGAGAGAAATTCCCCCACTCTTCGGCTGATAGGGGTCAATGGTGATAAGCAACTGTTACACTTCCGAGAACGCCTGCAGCTCTTCCCCCACCCTAGCAGCAACCGCGCAGTAACCGTAAATTGTTGGTTCGACGACACAACCGAAATACAACAACAATAATAGTATCGATAGGGTTCATGTCGCGAGAACTGTATTAGCATCCGAGGCTTACACATATTCTGTGCCGTGAATACAAGTTCGAGCCAGCTTTGTCTATATTCATTTCTAATTGAAATTTCACCACCCGTCGAGCAAAAATACGAATGTAAATGGCTCGATTCATTCCCGACCCAACGAAATTTCCCAGGCTGAAGGATCAAGTTATGGTGATCACAGGTGAGACTTGGCATTTTCTCTCTCGTTTTCGTTATGTCCGACTGCCCTAACTCATAACGAACCCGTTGGGACTAGCTAATGTCCAGATCTCAGGTGGAAGTAGCGGCATAGGGGCAGCGACAGTCGCGTTCTTTGCCAAACACGGGGCGAAGGTCATCTCGGGCGACATAACACCTGCCTCTACCGACGTCGAGAATGTTCAACATGTTAGCACCGACGTGACATCTTACTCATCTCTTTCAAATCTCTTCCGCCTCGCCTTCAAGACGTACGGCCGTGTTGATATTGCCATCAGTAATGCCGGCTTGATTGAGCCAGGCAACATTTTTGACCCGTCGATCGATCTGCAATCCGTCGACGAGGAGCCAGCGCTCAATATCGTCGACGTCAATGTCAAGGCGGTGATTTATTTTGCCCGTATTGCATCGGTCTACCTCCGCCAAGGGGCGAAGCCGGGCGATGACAAATGCCTCCTCTTAATGAGCAGCGTCGCTGGGTTCACCTTCACCCCAGGGCTGTACGTGTACGGCGCGACCAAACACGCTGTAATAGGCCTAATGCGAGCGCTGGCTCCGTATGCACTCACTACGCTTGGCATTCGAGTGAACAGTATCTGTCCTTGGACGACGGAGACGGGAATGGTTTCGCAATTCCTTGACAAGTGGAGGGCTGGCGGCTTTGCGGTGAATTCCCCGGAAGATATTGCACAAATTTATGGTGCACTGGCTGTAGATGCGGAAAACAATGGCAAGGCTGTATACGTCGAAGGCGGGAGAGGTTGGGAGATAGAAGAAGGATTGAATCGTCTAGGTCCTCAGTGGTTAGGTCCTGGACCATGGGATAGTCTCATGAGAGGCCAGAGATTCTTCAGTGAAACAGAATCTTGGTGAAAAGAAACGAAAGACCAAATTTAATATGTGTGCTTGGTTTAGAAAGGAAAATTAAATGGAATCTTGCTTTCGGTTGCGTTACCCCCTGTGTAACACATTGAGAACTATACATCCCAGCAAGTAGGCGGATCATTTTCAATTTTAAGGAGGGGCAAGAGAGTTCGCCAGCTAGTCTGGAGTGGGGGAGAGTTTGCTACTTGTATTGGGATAAACTCCTATAATTTGAAATGGGTTGAGTTCTGCCCTTTCTCCCTTCCACAAACGGCCATATTACTTCATTGAAGGACAAGTCAAGGCTCCAGAGCAACATGTCTCTCCATCCGTCACAATGGTCGTATTTGATTATACCCTATGGCCAACGTCTCTAGCTGACCACGAAGCAGTGTTGCCTGGGTGTCCGGCGCTGGCAGTGGAATTGGTCGTGCGATAGCATTACAACTCTTCGCCGATGGATTTCGGAAGATGTGCATTGTGGATGTGAATGAATCAAATCTAAAGGCCACAGCCGAGAACATTAAGTCCAAATATCCTGATGCTGAAGTCATTAGTGTACCAGTCAACATCACCGAGGATTCGGAGGTTCGAGTCTCCATCGATGCGACCGTGCAGCAATTTGGCCGCTTGGACTGTTGTGTGAATGCTGCAGGGATCGCCGGCCCGTTTAGCAAGACCGACTCCCAAACCACCACAAGCCTTGACACAGTGCTAGGAGTGGACTTGCGTGGCCTGTGGCTCTGTGAGCGGGCGCAGCTATGTCAGCTCATGAAGCAAGATCTCAGACCACTGAAGTAGGTTTAGGAAAAGTCCCAACTACAAGACAGAGATTTTGTCTAACGATTCACCTCCACTTTTGCAGCACTCAGCCAGCCCATCACACCAGAGGCGTGATCATTAATATTTCCTCTATGCTCGGTACTGTTGGCATGCCTCTGTCAAGTCCTTATAATATGGCGAAACATGGTCGGCTTCCCTAAAGAGAAATACACAACAGCCAGCACTGACAGCTTATTAAATAGGAGTAATCGGATTGACACGAACAGACGCGATCGACTACGCAGAAGCAGGGATTAGAGTCATTGCCGTTTGCCCTGGCTTTTGCCGTAGCAATCTTGTTGACGCTGCAACTTGGGATGCTGTGAGCCATGCTACATCCCGATACATCTACCCCGTCCTTTCTTCAATAATTATTCTCCAACCACGTTTATTCGACAAAGAATATCCAGCTAATTCTCAAGCGTTAGCTCGGTCCGGTCATCCAACAGACTCCAATGAAGCGATTAGGTACGGTCGAGGAGATTGCGTACTCGGTGTCCTTTCTCGCCAGCGATCGGTCTAGCTACACTACTGGGATCGCTTATTGTATCGATGGAGGATTTACCTCGGGCTAGAAACATGGTCGGATCTAGAGCAATCAATTAACTCTCCGTCTAGGACTATGTAGTTTAGGGAGGTACAGATGACAATTTTTTACGCCACACAACAACGATCAGATAATGTATATCATTGGAACCCTACGAAAGGTGTAACTCGCATCATGTTTTGGTGACATGGTCTTACCTGCCTAAACTTTTAAGTTCCGAGCCTGAGGCCGAAGTGATAACTATACTGTTGAAAGCTATGACCTCAGCTCTAGATGGATATTACATTGATCGACATAGTTATGTTGTCAGAGAATGGCCCACACCCCCTGGCGTTTAACCAAAAAGAGTAACAATTCTAGCACTCCATGGCAGAATACCGGGCCACTTAGTTATATTGTAACGGAACACTTAGGGTTCGGCGTGCAAGTGCAACAACGCACAGAGACCTGTCCAGCAGATCGGGAATCGAGAACGCTTTTCTGGTTGACACTGACAGGGCAACACTACCACCAACACCACCCCCAGAGAGGCAGCAGCTAAGGCAACGAGCGCCTAGCACGACGACGACATTGAGAAGTAGGAACGGGCCGATGAAACACTCAGGAATAGGTAGACGGCATCAAAAGCATGGAATACTGATACTCTCTCTAATCAATTGTAAAGAATGGCACTCTGTCAGCACTGTAAACTGTTCCGCACTCCCCTTGCCAGCCCATTTTGGTTTGACATGTGACTAGACAGCTTCTCCCCCCCTGCTACCACTCTACCAGCCCTGCACGGCACAGCACAGCACAGCCACTTTGCCTTGTTACAATATACTTGTTCCAGAGCGCCGTTCTAGGCCTCCGTAACATATATCGACGCCGATCGACGTTTAAATATTCTTCTCCAGATCGAGTTTCTCCTAAATTCCAGGGCAACAGACGTAATCCCCAACCTGCGCCCTTCTATGATCTAGTCTACATCTGTGAGATTAACCATTTCACACCATCAACAAGTTTATAGAAAAACTATTTGACGCCTCTGGCACACCGGGAAAGACCCAAAACACATGAGGCAAGCCGGGAAGGTGGTCGCGGCGTGTCGGCAACCCGGCCTTTTTCAATGCAGTCTCCATGACGGGGATGTCGACCCTGTTTCCGTCGCAAGACTTGTAAATAGAGCGATACTTCGACGGAATTGAACCCCAATGAGAGGTAAATGGAACGGCAGCTGCGGCGCCACGGACAAAATCGCGTGTTTTTTTGGTTGGCCACAGTATGGCTCGCTGCTTCAAGCGCTAACCCACCTCCTGCAGATATTCCAATGGTGTAAAGTTTGTTGGCATTTCCGCAGAACAGTTCCACATTGCTGTGGGCTTATTTGGCAACATAGTTAGGAGGAAGAAGATTGAACTTATATCACATTGACTCCTCAGAAACAAAGAGTATGAGAGGGGAGGGAATTCAAGGAACTCACCCAATGCAGTACCTTCAACGTGTCTTGTAACTATGCAGGGATCCGATATTCGGGCCCGAGACGATACTCAACGCTGATAATAACGGATGATGCTAGCTCTGCGATGAGTCGACACATCAGATCCTCTGCGTCAATGTTACCGGTCAACTAAGCTGCCACCATGCGCGTAGAGTCCCATCGGCAAGTGACCTGTCGTGACGGCGTCAGTTGGAGTGTAGATTCGATAGCTGACGCCTTCGACATTGCCGTCCTGCGAAACCACGGAAGGAGATGGCTTGGGTTACCGCGGTCTCAGAGGCTTGACGAGGCCGGCATATTGAACACGGATCGATCTCATCTGGCGAGCCCGAAAGTGGTGTGCGACATCCTAAAGTTTTCTCAACCTGTTACTCTCGACAAACATGGTCAGCGGCAGCCGTATCGAGGACATAACGAAACAGGGAAATTAGAAAGGAAAGGGATAGTGACTCATTTTAAGCCACGATTGAGAATATGCCATTTCTTAACTGGATCTGAAAATTGGTTAGCTGGATCCTGAACTTCCGCCACGCCCTTACTAACTTGATGGGCTCAAGGTCCCTGGCACCAAGTGATATAAATTTTTTTATACTAAATAATAGACCGCACAATGAAATATAATTCCTACTCGGATCGTAAGCAAGTAATTTCGAAAGTGGGGGAATCACTCAATCCTGCAGGAACGTGGTTTTGGGAACAAAACCTTGCGTAGCCGGGCCAATGGAGGCCACTTTCAACATGTCAAATGAGATATGTGGCATTTGATAAGGGACTTAATGTTGGAACTCAAATAGTGCCGCAGCTTTTGGAAGCCCACCAGCAGATAGATAACAGTAAAAAATCTCGCTCACTATCGTGCCGCTATTAAACGCCCTCGTCGGATACTCAACTCTTCTTCTCTAATAACAAAGACGACATTATTGCGAGATCGAAAAATGACAAGGGACGCGGGATGATCAGACGGACACGGCACCATTCCAACTGAGGCAAATTATACTGAGAACAGAAACGCGGACGACGTGAGTATTCTTGATCAATTAATATTTAACTGAGCTAAAATGCCCTCGAAGGAGTCGGCACGACTTTGGTTGTATATCTGACCTAGTTTCCAAGTCAAATTCAGCTATTCTAAATAAATCCCAAGGAAGACCTAGGCCATTATATGCCCGCAATGTATATGTCGTATCGGCAGGGTTGATGTGTGGACAGATTGCGTTGGTGAAAAAGAAGCTCAATGTGTACCCCTTTCGTCTTTCAACTTTGTTCAACGATGTTGCTCATTAGGAAAAGAGCGTATTTGTTACTAAAATTGGTAATGTCGCCAAAGATGGCCTCGACTTCCTTGCCAGCCAAGGCCTTTTTCAAGTGTTCCTGGCTCTCAAATGTCATGATGGCGCCGACACTGTACGATTGGGTTCCGTCGGGCGACTCGGTGAACTTGACGACCTTCCAGTCTTTCGTGCCATAGGGCGCCCACTTCTCCATCACCACCGGCATGTGCTTATTGAGATAGTATTCCAGATCAAACTCCAGATCTGGAGTTGGATACAGAACGGTGACGTTGGAGGGTGGCATGGCTGTTTGCCTCTTTTACCATCGAGAGGGTTGATTTGGCAGAAGGAGGAACAGAGAATGCAATGAGCCGTAACTGTTGAAAGATAAAATCTTATTGCTGGTCGCTGCTTACCATCTTGTTCAGTGAGCAAGAGAAGGGATCGGGAGAAAATCGAAGTCTATAGATTAAGATTTATATAGTCGATCTACGCCGAGACTATGGTTAAGGAACCATAAAAGGACGGAGTCGGACGAGACTTTAGGGGCCTGGCCGGTTGGGTGCGCAGCTCGGCATCCCAACCCGAGTTTCTATGCCGTGTTGCAGGGTCTCATATCTCCTACATACTACTAGTGTAATGGGAGAAGTTTGAAGTGGTGGATAGCGTTATGATTGGCTGGGGCGCCGACCCTAGACTAGGGTTCTTCTTATATAGTCCTCGGGGACTATCCTTCATAGAATTGACAATCAATCAAGTTACCAACAGAGAGGACTTCCTTGGGTTGAGTGTGCGTGTTGGGAAGAGGCTATGCCCACCGCCGTACGAGTTGATGCCTATGGCTAGTAGCCTCGCCCTAGTTCACTAGTAGACTAGATAAAATATTAGCCTCAAGTGGCTTAGAATCCCCTCCTAATGGCATATCCAAATTATCAAGGTCTAGGCAAGTATAGGAGTCTTATCATCGTACTTGGCAGTTTCCAAGGCACTGTCATCGCCCGATCCGAGCAGTTTCTCACCGGCCATAGGTCGATCAGTGACTCCTAAAATTGCGTTCTCCCAGAAATAGTTTCCCCCGCGGGGAGAGCAGAGGACAGTTCCAAAATTACTTTTTGCTGTGCTCAATAGCCAGGCCGGATCGACACTTCCGAGGCTCAAGATGATGAGCTGACGGCCGCCATACGAATCACCCCGCCAGGTAAGATTGCCGCCGCACACGTTGCAGAATCCGCGGTAGCAGCCAGGAGAACTGTTGTATTCACGATAGGTCGGCCTATCGGAGGGAGTCCACGTAAATGCAAAGTCGGGGAGCGGTAGAATATGTGTCATCAGAGCACCAGTCCACTTGCGGCACTGCGTACACTGGCAGCTTGAAGTCTACCTTGCAAAACGTAGTACAGGTCAATAATGGCCCTTTAAATCGGAGGGAAGAAGCAAGAAACACCAGGGCCGAAGAGTAGGCATTGCCACTCACATTCGGTGGCCATTCATCGAGAGTCACGTGATATCTGATTGCTCCACAAAGACATCCACCCGAGATATGGGCCGGATGATTGGGTGAACTTTCCATAACTCGAAGACTTCCTTCACTGGCCTGAAGCCTGTTGGATTCGTTTCTTTAAATCTCTGTCGGACTGCTAAAAGTTTTGAAATGTGTAGAACTACTAGCAAAGGAGTTTGGATGGGAACAATGACCATCGAACCAGCGAATTTTGTCCTGACAGATCTTCGATAGCATTCTTCTTGGCTCCCATTAGAAGATGTTCGGCCCATCGGGCTCTTCGGTCATATTGAAGATGAAGTGGGGGAAAGTGGTCGAGCATCAGCGGAGTCTCAGCTTTTTTGTTTTCTCCCTACCCTTCCACTCACCTAGGTATCATATAGGTTTCCTCTGAATTATCGGCTTATCTATCTGGACTTTGACCTCGAACCGGTGTGTACGTAATTGGTGACGCCTGGTTGTGCTCTGGTAGCTCTGAGTCGCCAGACTATATCTTTGAATCAAAACAACGATCGCCTATCTTGGACTTCATCCAAAAGTATACAAGAGTGGGGGACTGACAAGCTGTATCTGCAAGTCTTTGTATAGAGAATCTCTTAAACTTGTAGAGAAGAATCACTCCTACACCTTCGATCAAATTTCGATACATTTATTTCTTCCCGTTCATTCCCGAAATTGAATTCGCGCCTCGTCTCAATAGAATAAGAGACAATGCCTGCAGTATTTACTGGAAACGGATATCGAGAGGTCGTCAGCCCTAACGCCAGAGCTGGCGACTTCTCCGAACTACCCATGATAGACTTGAAGTATGCATCAAGTCCAAACCTTCAAGATCGGCTCAAAGTCGCCGAACAATTGTGCGACGCCTGCACAAGGATCGGGTTTTTCTATATCAAGAACACGACAATGCCTGATGAGATCAGAAAAGGAGCATTTGCTGCCGTCTGTATCCCCACTTTTTTGTTATTATGCGGTTCCCTACCTCTCTACCTGACTTGGAAATGGGACTAAATTCTAAATGAACAATAACTTACTGGTCCGCAAATATTAGGCCAAGAAGTACTTTGAGTTACCATTCGAGACTAAGATGGAAAATCACATTAACAAGAACCCGGCCTTTTTCGGTTACACGGGCATGTATGATGAGAACCCAGACGCAACAAAGAAAGGTAGGGAATAAGCTAATCTAGCCCCATTGAGCTGTTGATTATGTTGGCTTTGCATTTGTCACCACCATTTCACGTCTCATGGGCTGACAAATGGAATATAGGAGATCTACACGAATGCTTCGATATCAACTACCAAGCTTCAGCAGACTACCTAGACCACCCTCGGGAGAAGGTCCAAGAGATGTTAGCATCAGGCGAGATTTGGCCCTCCGTCTGGCCGGGCGGGATCGCAGAAGATGACTTCAGAAAACCACTCGAGGCGTACCAACGAGAGATCCTGAGAATCGGACGTACTCTGGTCCGCTTATTCGCGCTCGCATTGAACATGCCCGAAGACTTCTTTGATGACAAGTTTACCGTCCCGGGGCTCATGCTTCGGGTACTGCTTTATCCGCCACAGGATCACAAGCCGAAGGAGGATCACGTTGGGATTGGCGCACATACTGATTATGACGGTGAGTTTTTGCCATACATCAACTTTCGCTGTCAGCCTTCCCTCACTTTTCTCCCTTTATCCTCTATCTTGTGTTAAGATTTTAACTAATTAAACTGAACTTTCCGGGTTATAAAAGTCCTGACCATCCTTGCTCAAGATGAGCACAATGCATTACAAGTCCTCAACCGCAACGGGGAATGGATCCAAGCGCCTCCAATCCCAGGTACCTTTGTGGTGAACAGTAAGTAGTATTGTCATCATGCTGAGGTGCAATGTTAATCCCTCGATTTCCTTGTCGTATAGTTTGCGATCTCATGGCTCGCTGGACTAACGACGTCTTTGTGTCAACCGTACATCGCGTCATCAACGAGAACAAGACAGACCGCTACTCAATCCCGTGTTTCTTTGGTGTCAACTACAAAACTATAGTGGAGGTATGTGCCCCAATCCTCTCTTGTCATTCCTCTCCTTTACATTGTCCCCTACTGTTCCTGCCACTTCTGGAAGTGAACGGTTCCCCAGTTCATCTCCCTTATTTTCAGATTTTCACACTCACATTCATGTCGTACTAGGCCCTCCCAACATGCTGCAGTGAGAAAAATCCTCAAAAGTGGCCGGCTGTGCAGGCTGGAGAGGTAAGCTAACCCGCCAGTTGAACCAACAATTTTTCATCTAAGTCTCTAAATGTTTGGTATGAATTATATAGTATATTTTGCAAAGACTGCGCGAGAGCTACCCGAATCGGGAGATGGCTTGGTCGCAGAACGGCGCGATCAAGGTTGCGCCCGACGTAGAGGAGCCGGAAATTCTTGTGGCTTGAATTATTACGTTTAAACTGGAGGAGATGGAAGGGGGGTGAAAACAAGGCAAAGTGAAGGAAGGGGTCTAGGCATGTAGTGGCTATTGGCTATGTGACGGGCATTTATATTTCAGAGAGTAGGGTTTCTGTGAGACTGAGAACTGTCAAATTGGTGGAGAGCATTGATCTATTTTCCATGATGTCTGCCCCTCTGTCCCTTTCAGCGAGTTCTTTCCTGTTTATAAAGACATTTTGTCTACGTCTAGTAGGCCCTTCCTGGACGTTTCCTGGCTGCGTCATCCTTAACGATACTGTCTTGATTGAAAGTTCATGATATCACTTGGTCTGTGCGTGTTACTCTGTGCGCTGGTGGCCTGATAATTGATATTTGTCACACAGTGGCGATCTCGCAATCCTGATACTCGTTCTGTCTCAAAGTTTAGTTCCCGCTCGAGTACCCAGTAATCTGGAATGTATTATTTTAAAGTGATTCAAAGCGGTAGCCGTGATAGCAAAAGGCGATACATCAAGTCTATAAGTCAGTTGCAAACAGGAATGGCAAATATTCTCCTACTTCTATTGTAACAAGGCAAAGTGGCTGTGCTGTGCTAGGTTGGTGGAGTGGTAGCAGGGGGGAGAGTTGTCTAGTCATATGTCAACCTACAGTGCTGGCAGAGTGCCATTCTTTACAATTGATTAGAGAGAGTATCAGAATTCCATGCTTTTGATGCCGTCTGCCTATTCCTGAGTGTTTTATCAGTCCTGTCCTATCTCTTCAATGCTACCGCCGTGCTAGGCGCTCGTTGCCCTAGCCGCTGTCTCTCTAGGTGGTGTTGGTGGTGGTGTTGCCCTGTCAGTGTCAACCAGAAAAGCGTTCTCGATTCCCGACCTGCTAGACAGGCCTCTGTGCGTTGTTGCACGTGCACGCCGAACCCTGCAGTGATCTGTTACATTAGAAGCACAGGCAATTCAACTTTAGCAAGTCCGGTGTTGAATGATATTGATAAAGACCGCCAAAGGAATAGTTCACCCTCTAACCCCCAACCTCAATCTTATAGTACACTTGCAATGTGCCTTCAGTCTTAGGCAATTTCAATCAATTGTAACAACCACCTTGCCAATATGCTTCCGATCCCACATATACTTGCGCACGTTAGTGGACGAGTCTTTGAACGATGCAATACAGCGGCACATACCCGAACGGCCTCTTTGAGATCTTGAAGTTTGAACTTCCTCTTGTCTATCAAAGGCTTGATATTGTTCACTTCGATGCATCTGTTCATCTCGACGAACTGGAGCCTGCTGCCGACGACGACACCCCTAACTATACACTGATGATTCAGAGTATCAATGAAAGTCGGCTCTGAGAAATTAGAAGTGTCTCCTAAATATCCGATTACAGATATTTGGCCGTCTCTTCGGATCGCCCTCAAACTCTGTGCCATCGTCATGGGCCCGCCCACTTCAATCACGTGATTCACACCTTCTTTGTCAAATGTCAACGACTTTGCCGTCTCGCCCCAGTTGGGGTCCTGGGTATAGTTAATGATATGATGTGCTCCTAGGCTCTTTAAAACCGCTGCTTTATCGCTGGAGCTTGTCGTCGCGATAACGATTGCTCCCGCTGCTATGGCAAACTGCAATGCAAAGATTGACACGCCTCCGGTTCCTTGAACGAGAACAGTATCACCGGCAACCAGAGGCTTTAAACCGTACAGTCCGTTCCAAGCAGTCATGGCGGCGCATGGTAGCGTGCTTGCCTCGTAGTAGTCGAGATTCGATGGGATGTGCACCAAACCCTCCTCGTGGAATATGCCATATTGGCGTATCGTTCCGTCTTCGCCGCCACCAAGATCTGACTGAACGACTTTGGAATCGAGAGAGCCGGCGTAGAACTTTTGGATCATCACTGCCACTGCTTTGTCCCCCTTTTGAAAACGCCGAACTTCAATCCCTACCGCAAGAACTTCTCCGGCTCCATCGCTTCCAAGCACAACTCCGGGTTTGGCGCCTATAGATAAAGTAAATATTTTAGAGCGTGCTTGGTTTCTCCTGTTGTAGACTCTTCTTTGAGGAACGTACCAAACTTGTAGAGTCCCTATACACGACGTTAAAGGTAGGACGTCTTAAAGTCGACAAATATACGTGCCTTGCAAATTGCGAGGTCTCTATAGTTCAGAGACGCGGCATGGAACTTGACAAGCACGTCAGCCTTGCCCAAGACAGGCAAAGGAATTGAATCTTTCCACTCCAAGCCGTCCCATGTCCCTGGAGCAGCGACGATCCATCCTCCAGTACTGAGTGGTAACGCCATGTTCAGGAAAGCAGACGCGGAACGTGAGGTGCGGACCACAAGTAGCTCAACTGATATCGTGTGAAGTACTATTGCAATACTGTAAACTATAACCCCATGTATTACCTATACATCAAGATAAGGTATATGAACACAGACAGTGAGCAAGAGAGTGGGGGAATCTTGAATAGATACGATCTCACAGGAGGATTCGTCATCGTTCTCTGTCTATGCACCCCAACTAATACAATCTTCCAAGAAGACGATTCAGAGACTTCCCTGAAGGATTCCAATATAATAACATACTGATAAGGCCATAAAGAAACACCGCGTGGATATGGCTGATAACAGGGTAAGTGCTTTCCAAAGTTCACTCGTAGGTGAACATTTCTCGTCTGCCTGATCAACAGGTAATAGCTCCCCCAACCTTGGCATTAATACATGGGTGCGCCAAGTGATCCAGAACGCGAAATCATCCGCTCTAGGCTTGGACAGGGACTACTCACCTGTAGCGAATCAGTGAAGTGCCTCGTTCTGAACACAATCTTGTACCATATAAAACATCGTTCCCCAGTTTGACTCCAAAAAAAAAGAAATATCTCAAGCGACAAGGAAACTGCTACTCCATACCCCTGTAGAAGGGGTTTCTCAATTTGATTATTAATACGTGTCAGATGACAACGATCGGTATCACAAAGATCCAGATCATTAGCTATGGCACAAGGAACGATCTTGCCTGCATTCCAAAAACTCCCTGAGGCCGATACGGTATGGGAGAACTATAATAAACCCGGAGGCAAATTTGGACTGTTGGACAGATCGAAGGAGGTTCCTGGTATCAAGGGGGACTTTGACGCCATCCCTATCATCGACATCGGTGGCATTTTCAGTGATGACCTCCAAGTCAGGAAGGCCGTTGCCGTCAAATTGCTAGATGCGTGCACCCGGATTGGCTTCTTCTACATCAAGAACCACGGTGTGCCGCAGGAAATGGTCGACGGTGTCTTCGACTGGGCTGAGAAGTTCTTTCAAATGCCTCTAGATGACAAGATGGAATTTTTTGTGACTAACTCCCATAATCTCCGTGGATATACTCCACCTGAAAGCTCAGGTCGATTGGACAAGGATGGTCGAGGAAGTACGTAATGATTCCATCCCCCCTTCTCTCTTCCAGTTCCTTCGATACAGAGATAAGTTGATCAGAGCTAATGGCTTTTGGTATTGTTAGATCGGAACGAACATTGGGAATGGGGCCACGACTCCAAGCTCAACGATGACCCAGACGAAAAGTATCTTTGCCCTCACATGAATGGCGAGAACCGCTGGCCTTCAAAACTGCCTGGATTCGAAGAGCATCTTTCTACGTATTACAGAACCTTGAGAGATCTCGCTCGAAAGCTTACTCGCAATTTGGCTCTTGCAGTCGGTCTCTCAGAGGCCTTCTTTGATCCCTTGATGACCCATCCTGGTTGTACAGCGGCCTTGGTCCGCTATCCCCCACAGCCTTCCCACTCATTCGACTATGGCATTCGCCCTCACACAGATGTTGAATGTATGTCGTTTCCTTAGAGACCAGTTTCATATGTTCAGTTTCTATCTAACTAACTTTCAAAATAGTCCTAACTATTCTCTCCCCCGGCCAAGTGCCAGCCCTGCAGGTTTTGAACAAGAACGGTGACTGGATCGAGGCTCCACCTTATCGCGGCATGTTTATCGTTAACGTCGGCGACCAACTTCAGGCTTACACCAACGACATCCTCGTGTCGACTGGACACCGGGTCCTTAATTGGTCGGGTGTCGAGAGGATCTCGGTACCGTTCTTCTTCTCCATGAATTTCGAAGCGGTCGTCGAACCAATCCCAGAACTGGTCCAGCGTGCATTGAAGAACGGAGATCCTGTTTCCGATCACCCGTCGACTACTGCTGGAGAGGTGAGTGTACTTTATTTCGGTTTCCGACCAGCTTCCCAATGGTTCAACAGGCTTGAAAAGTAAAGGCCTACATCAGGCAGAGGCTAACTCGCTCGTGACGCAGATGTACAAGTCCATGAAAGTCATCTACCATCGCCACACCAATGAAGTGCCAAAGTACAAAAAGTGGGTGAAGAACAATAATGTCGTTGAGGCCACGGCCTAAAATTTGAAGTCAGAATGTTTTGAGGGGTTCTTAGCTAGATCTAGATAGATTAGTCAAAACTCGTATACGCCGAATAAGGCGCCTGCTCCAATGATCTCCAGTACTCTCTATTTTGTGTTGTATTCTCCGATCAACAGACCAAACATGTTGTGAGCTACAGGCAGAGGATGAGCGGAGGATATCATCATTTGTCAATTCCTTGTCTCAAAATCTTCGAAGCCTTTTCTAAAGAGTCGAAAGCAATCCTTTCGTTCCTGTCACACTACCATCTAGTGCGGTAGGGGGGAGGAGGGGCTGGTTTGCCCAATAAATTAAATTACAGAGAGACATGCAAAGATGCCTATTTCACTTAGAGAGTACACGGACTTGATTTAGTCTGAAGCACACCGGTTCTATGTCAGTCTCCTGGGTGCTGTACAGCCTCATAATAGGGGAATAATAGATAGATACGACACGTTTTCAGGCATAATACAGGATAGAACGGAATGTGTAAGATAATTAAGCTCCTAAGGCTGAAAGACCTTACTAAGAAAAAGAGACAAGGAAACGTTTTATAGTACGCTGCTTATCTTTGTTGTCTAGGAGCTAGATCCAGGCCAGGGCCCCATTCATAGGGGGCATATCCTACTTGGCTCAAAGCTGTACTTGTTATAACTTGAGGGTTTTCGCCTCTATCGGATTGAACAGATCACTGGATGGCGGTGTAGTTAGCCGGACCGGGGGGCCACAGCTGCAGAGACGATCATGATAACTATTCGTCTCTCCACTTTTGAGATAATGGTATAGTCATCGTACCTCTTATTCACCGTTTTTTTTAAACTAGCCTCTTGATTATTTGTATCAACCCAAATATCAAGGGTCCCTTGAATTGGAATTCTGTTTATTGGTTCTTCCTATCAATTGTAGAGACCCCTATCTTGTTTGAAAAGCAATCAACTAAGGAGAAGTATATACCGCCCATAAACGAGAAGATCTGTCCTCTTCGATACCGTTGTAGGCAGTGTTTATCTCTTACATTATAGAAGTGGGGAGAAAGACACTCCGCGTAGTTCCTGATATGCTCTACGCTACGTGATGTCTTGCTTGCTTTGTGAGGCTTGTTATCGTAGATGATCATAGTGATGGAGAGAGTACAGGGGTCAAGTCAAAATAAAGATTATATGTATCGTATGGTGCCCGTCACTCAATCCGCAACATTTGGGTGTCATTTCGGAACGGGGCGAATAGTGCACGAATCATCAAACCACAAACCTCAACATGCCTCCCATAAACCATCCCAGGCGGTTTCATTCAAAGCTAATTCCTCAGTCGACTGTGGCAGTGACTGCTTTAATCATCTCGGTTTCGATAGCAGACTCTCTGGTGAGTGCTTTGCATTGCACCAAAAAGCCATCTGACGGGCCAAAGCTCCTCGGTTACGATAGTTCCCTCATGGGGGCATTGAACGTCATGCCCGCCTATACCAGCTACTTTACTTTGAACACGGCTACCAAGTCTCTGAACACAGCCATCTCATACATTGGTGGAGCCGTGGCTTCGTTCCCAGCCGGGTTCTTGGGCGACTTCCTTGGAAGGAAGAAGGCTATTGTCCTTAGCTGCATTTTTACCATTATCGGTGCTATCATCCAGACCGCCGCACAGAACATTGCCATGTTTATCATTGGACGCTTCATCATTGGCGTTGGACTGGGAATTGGAGCAGTCTCTGTCCCGACGTAAGTACCATCTTTGATCACTGAACTCTCTTTCGGAAACCAGTTTTTTGATCGACTGGATGACAGCTATATTGCGGAAACTGCACCAGAAAAGTGGCGAGCCGTAGCATTGGGCTTGTATTTGAGCAATTGGGGTAAGGTGATCCATCGAATATGCGGAGAACGGTGCTTACTTTACATTTTCCAATTTTCAGCGGTAGGAACCATTATCGCTTCCGCAATTGGCTGGCGAGTAGGTAATCTCTGTTTTACAAAACCAATCTTGACAACTGACGTGACCTATTTCTTCCACACAGACTGAACAAATCGATTCTACTTGGGCATGGCGAGGCCCTAGTTTGATTCAAGTCTTCTGGGCCTTGCTTTGTGTCATCCTCCTGCTTTTTGTGCCGGAATCGCCTCGTTGGCTCATTGGCAAGGACAGGCACGAAGAGGCACTCGAAGCACTGGCGATCGTGAATGCACAAGGCGACAAAAACCACCCGGTTGTTATCCTTCACTATCGCGAAATCACCGACACTGTTGCCTGGGAAAAGACTGAGGGGAACCAACTGTCTCTGAAAGATGCATACTTGTACCCGTCGAACCGCAAACGATTAATGCTCGCCACGACCTTTAGCATCATCGTGATGTTCCCAGGCACTTTGATCATCACATATTATTTTGGCGACATGCTCACCTTGGCAGGCATTACTGATGTAACCTCCCAGCTTCAAGTCAATATCATTCTGCAGATTTGGACTTGGCTCAACTCTATCACCGGCGCCTGGTTGCTGGGCCGGATGCGTCGCAAGTTACAAGCTTCGCTGTCCATGGTTGGGCAGATCATCACTTTTTTCATCTTTGCCGGTCTCGTCGCCCTGTATGGCAGCTCGACCAATACGTCTGGAACCTACGGTGCCATTGCTATGATGTTCCTTTACAACGCTGCCTATGGGTTGGGCATCAACGCCTTGATCTCCACATATCCCCCCGAGGTTCTCTCCTATCGCATCCGATCCACCGGCATGGGTCTTTACACATTTTGCAATGTAAGTCACGAACAAGGAACAGAAATCTTGTGAAAGAATGCCTTTTCTAATTAGCTCCGTCTAGCGAGTTGGAGGTGTCTTCGTCACCATGGTCTTCCCCTTCGCAATGGACGCAATGGGATGGAAGTTCTACATTCTCAACGCTGCCGTCGACATTTTGATGCTTGCCTTCATTATTTACTTCTGGGTTGAAACATATGGCCTGACATTGGAGGAGATCGATGTCAAGTTCGATGGGGTCAAGCACTCCGATGTGCCCGATCTCAAAGATCTGTTGAACGGTGATAGAAAAGCCGTGGAAGCACTCATTCAAGATATCAACCCTACCGAGGAGAATATGACCACTACAATAATAGTCGATGAGAAGTAGTGGAAAAGAACACTGTCGTCTGAAAGGTTATGTTAAGACCTTATGGATGTGAAAAGGACTTGGAGAGACATTTCATGAAGCTGGTTTCTGGGTAGAAGGACATGCCGTGGAAGTTCATGTTATGTAGGGAAGGAACTGGTGAATATTTTCGAATCATGTAACTACGGGACTTGCATCTCCAGATTTGAAATATATAATCTTGTCCTCCATGTCTTAATAAATCTATATGTCTCAGCAGATACCTAGTGAAGGCAGAACAATCAATATTATTCTAAATTTCGTGCACACCAAAATCATGCCTTGTACTTCACCCATGCCACATCTATTCCAGTTTATCTATCCTTTCAAAAAACCTTCATAATACGCATCTAACCAGTGGCAAGCGGTCACAGCCTCGCCACAATCAAATCTCCCTATACTCCCAACATACCCATCAGGCCTGACATTCACAACAGCAACTTGATTGCCAGCGACACTGCCCAGCCATTTCTCCGTGCATGTTAGGCCACTCTTCGAGTCTCTCAGATCATCGAGATAGAATGTCCACCGGCTCTTCTGCAGCAGGGATGGCAGGTGTGCAATCTCAACGCGTGACTTCTCCATCTCCGTCACGGTGGCAAAACTGAATAGCTGGGAAGCTGCGGTATAGCGGCTCGGCTGGATGAATTGGTCGGCCTCAACGGGTGGGAGATGGAGAGCCGCGTAGGACTTTGCCGCCGTCAACGTAGAGCGTCCCAGCACCGAATCTGTGGATGAGATATGGGAGCAAACTGCAGAGAGAAAGTGTGCAGACAAGTGAATGTCTGACACGAAGAAATATAATCTGAATTGGCCCAACATGGGAATATCGAGCTGAATATCGACCGGGTTTGCATCGATGTAGCGGGTGACTTGGGCGGGTGGCACCAATTGACCCGCCCGCAATGCCCCTCTGGGATGTTCTTCAGGGACGTTAAGGATGTTTGGGGCATATTTGGCCCCTACACCAGAAATAAAGCCGATATTTGTTGCGAAGTTCTCGGCGAGAGCCTTGGAGTCACCACCAACAAAGGCGGCCGCGTGTTCGAAGTCGAAGTCGATCAGGTCTTGGGCGATCTTCCGTCTCTCGTGTTGGTACGTGGAGATAAGGCTCGGTTTTGAGAGGCCGCGGACTGCGAGATTAAGCTTCCATGAAAGATTGAATGCGTCGTGCATTGACGTGTTCATGCCTTGAGCGGCTTTTGGAGAATGCGTATGCGCAGCCTACAATCAGGTCAATTCATAACTCATTTTACCACTTCATCGCTGATGGGGAAAAGCTCACGTCTCCTGCAATGAACACTCGCTCGCTCTCGTCTGTGAAGGTGCTAGCTACCCGTTGACCGACGTTGTACACACTAAACCATTCTAAGGTTGCAAAGAGTCAGCACGCATGCTCCGGACAATGATATAATCAAAGGGACTTACCAATACTAGTCCAAGTGACGGAAAAAGGGAACATGATCTCTTGCGCTTTCTTCATCATGTGTTCCTGCGTAGCTTGAGCTGGTACACTATCTGTCAACGAGCGATCTAGCTCAATATACAATCTGGTCATGTTCCTCTCCCGAGGAATGCATAGGACGGTTCCTGCGGTTTCGGAGTGAATGACAACCTTGCTCCAAAGGTCCGGGAAATCGGTTTCAATCACACCTATAAGACTATCAGTTTCTCCGAGGAAAATACTTGTCCACGGTTGGAAATACAAACCATCAATAACTCCCCACTTGGAATTCCTACTCTCCCCTACCATTTGCGCGCTAGGAATACCCTTTCGGACATTTGAGTGGGCGCCATCGCAACCGACCAGATACGTAGTCTTGATTGAGTAATTGGACGCTGTCTTCTTATTTTCGCAAATGGCTTCTATGGGGGAATCTGGCTGGTCTTTGGTCTTGTACCGGATAAATGGTGAACTCCTGGTGACTTCAATCCCTCGCTCCTTCATATCTTCAATGAAAATGTCTTCCACCATGCCTTGATGAACAAGAAGGATGAAAGGGTCCTTGACATCCACTTGGTCAGGGTAGTGGACTTCTCTCCTGGTCCTGTGCAAGGCCGTAGTAGATGTAGAACTCTTGGGGAGAAATAGTTAGTGTCCAGATGTGTCGTTGCAATTAAAAGCCCCCATGTGCTCCGGTTGAATCTTTTGGATTGGAAAGAGAGACACACGTACCCAGAAACACATATCGTAAATCTTGACGCCTTTTTGAAGAAGGGGATCTGCCAGCCTAAATTGGCGAAAAGTCTCTATCGTTTTTGGTTGAAGGCCATCTGCTCGTCCCGTCGAAGTTTTATCATCCCTATCATCTATGATTTTTGACCTGATGCCATACCGAGCGAGATTTGATCTGCTCAGTAGATTAGATAGCTGGAAGTGTACTTGTTCTGAGAAGGTGAAAATGTCTCGATCTCTTACCCCAGTGTCAATCCTGCAGGGCCGGCGCCGACAATGACCACGTTTTCAACGATGTTATCGCGGCTACTATCATCGCATCCGCTCATGCCGACCTCGAAGCCTTCATTATCTGCACTAGGAGACATAGTCGGTGATGTTTGTGATCGTGTACGCTTCATCAGCAACTTCCGTCTCCTAAGACTTGTCGGAACAGCAGGTTTAATGGGCCCCTGGAAGAGGAGCCTAGTTAATGGATAGAACGCTCTCCTCAAGACCCTACTGCATAAGTTTACGCAGCGTATCGCGCATAGACCAGTGTTTGAGACTTTAGTGGGGGTGTAAAGGAGGTCTTGGAGGTAAATTAACGGGCTGATGCTTGCAGGAAACGTTCATTCTGCATATGGCAATGGTTTGCAGTCCCCCACTCTTGCCAAAGAAACGATAAAGATCATTGGGAAAGAGATGTTGAGATGTCGAGAGAACCCGATAAGACAGACATGCCCACTTGCGAGCAACTCGATTATTCGCCCAACCTTGTGCGATGGTACGAAGTTCCCACAATTATCGGAACATCGGCGATAAGGGCAAATGATGTGTTTGTTGCTCATGTGAGAGAGTGTTAGAAGATAATAGACTGGAAGGCTTGGGATAGGCATTGTAACTGTCGCGTCGTGAGCAGCAGGACAAGATGATACCCAGGGTATGGACAGAGATCGTACGAGAGAAGCGCGAGACCAGATCCAAGGTTATCGAGACCTTCTTGGGCCACGACAAAGGTGACGAGGGTACTACTGGATTTATCCTTGAAATCGACAGAGTTGAGGTCTTGCAAAGGGCGCTCACGAATGGGAACCTTTGTGCTCGCGATGTCATTCAAACTTATATCAGAAGGTATCCTAGCGAAACCCCGATGAGAATATCCGCGTCCTGGCTGATAATGACTTAGGGCGGCAGAGGTGCATCAACAGGTCAGCTGCTGAAACTTAGACACTCAAAGACAACCAGATTAATTAAGCGCAATAGACAAACTGCCTGACAGAAGTTTTTTTTGACGAGGCGATAAAGGAAGCCGACAGGCTAGACCAATATTATCAGCAACATGGAAAGCTAATAGGACCCTTACACGGAGTTCCTATAACACTAAAGGACCAATTTAATGTGAAAGGCGCCGATTCAACCATTGGGTATGTATCCAGAGCATTCAAGCCGGCTACAGAAGATGCGGTTCTGGTCCAGATTCTCAAGGACTTGGGCGCGGTGATATTGGCAAAGACAAACCTCCCACAAAGCATCATGGTATTGAACCCTGTCTATTTCCAACCGAGATCTTCCCTGACCTCTTCTAGTGGTGTGAAACTGAGAACCCAATTTGGGGCCTGACCACGAATCCAAGGAATCCTAAATACACCCCTGGTGGCTCAACTGGTGGTGAGGGTGTGTTACTAGCGCTTCACGGCTCAATGATTGGGTGGGGTACTGACATTGGAGGATCTATTCGGATACCCAGTCATATGAACGGGCTATGGGGGCTCAAACCGACAGTAAGAACGAAGTCGATATGTTGTCTCTGCCGCGGACTCTAACAGTGGCTTCGGAAAAGAGTTCTCGACTACCGTATCAAGGAGTCCCTGTATCAACAGAGGGGCAGGAACATGTTCCTTCCGCTGTGGGTCCAATGACGAGAAGCCTGTCTTCACTCACAACAGTTATGCAACATGTGATTGAGCAGAAGCCTTGGGTAGCAGATCCCAAAGTGGCTCCTATTCCATGGAGACGAGAGATCTACGATGAGATCCAGTCGCGACCTCTGACTATAGGAGTGCTAGCGGATGATGGAGTGGTGAAGGTTCATCCACCAATAGAACGCGTACTCAACCAAATGATAGCAAGATTGAAGCGCTCGGGTCACGAAATCGTTCCGTGGGATAATTCAGGGCATCGCGAATGCATCGAGATTATGGTAAGAGTTATCCTTTCGAGGGCGCTACTCTCTAACGTTGAAGAAGGATTTATTTTACACCGCCGATGGAGGCGAAGATATCCGGAGAGAAGTTCAGGCTGGGGGAGAGCCTTTTATCCCCCATGTTGAGGCTTTGATCAACCGGGGCAAAGCAATATCGGTATATGAATACTGGCAGCTGAATAATCGAAAGATCAAGGCCCAAAAGGCATACAACGACAAATGGAATCACGCAAAAGGCTCTGTATCAGGGTGTAATGTCGACATAATTCTGATGCCCACCATGCCTCACACAGCAGTTCCCCACCGAACGTGCCGCTGGGTCGGATATACCAAGGTTTGGAACTTCCTTGATTATACAGCACTTTCATTTCCTGCTGGAACTGTGGAAGAAACGGACAATATCCACACGGAGGGCTACGAGCCTCGCAATGACTACGACGCATGGAATTGGAAGCTTTACGACCCAGTTACCATGCAGGGGCATCCAGTAGGACTTCAAATAGTCGGACGCAGATTTGAAGAGGAGAAAGTCCTTGGGGCAGCAGCCGTCATACAAAAGCTCCTCAAGGCATAAAAATGATATTCACTGAAGATTGACAGATGGCAACGTGTTGGAATCCCCCTGGACTAAGTAACGTCGGCAACGAATAGCGACCAATTGCTAGGCTAGGTTAGGAGGTCTGGAAATGCGACTGGTTATTGATGGTGCCGAGGCGATAGACAGTCAAGTCTAGCTAGGATAAAATTACGGGTGGACAGGGATAGTCAGAACGGCCTCGTTTGCGACGTTTACAAGGCCTATTCAAGAAGGATTGACATCTATTTAAGGAGCGTTTTGGTAAGACAAGAGAAACTTCTATTCTATAGAATTACCACTGGAGGACTGTTTAAGCGTTGATCCGACTCGATGTACTTTTAACAGATCCAGGCGATGAAGGCTACGGTTTAGTCACCACTTTGTAACACCACCGTCGACGCATACATCTTGTCCAGTCATGTATAGACTTGCATCACTCGCTAGAAAGACGCATGCTCCTCTAATATCATCGGGCTCCGCTACCCTCCGGTTCATGATCTCATCTTTCCAGGATTCCAAGAGATGTGGAAACTAGAAAACAATTAGTGTGATGCATTGTTCAAGATTGAGCCCATGTCTTACTGACGCAGTCATTTCTGTTCTCACGTAGCCTGGAGATATTGAATTCACTCTGATACCCTTTGTAGAGAGGTTAGCGACACATGACTAGTACACTAAGAGAGGAGAATGCACACATAAGGAACCAACTCAGCGGCAATAGCCGGACACATGGCTCTCACGGCTCCTTTGGTACCACAATATGCAGAGCTCATTTGGCTTCTGATTGCCATGTAACTAGCAATGCTGGCCACAAGAATAATACTACCACACTTAGTACCATTCTTAATCATCAGCTTTGCGCCCAATTGAGCGGTATGGAACACGCCCATCGTATTGACGCTGAGTAGTTTCTGATGCTCTTCGTAAGAGGTGTCGAGGAAAGCGATATGTTTGTTAATCCCTGCACATGGGACACATATGTCGAGTTTTCCGCTGAAATCGGCCTCGAACGCCTCAAAGCCTTGTAATAGACTTTTCATATTGCTGACATTCACCCTACCGCTGTACATCAGTCTCATTCACCTAGGAGCACTTAGAGGAGTTTTGGCGAAAAGAATGATCCGAAATTTAACATACCGATAGTGTTTGGTCTTGACATTGTATGTCTTCCCGATCTCGAAGAAGTCTTCGATAGGATCTATGACGTCGAAGATGGCTACATCTGCCCCGGCCTCCGCAAGGCCCTGGGCAAACGAAAGACCACAGCCTCGTGCTCCCCCAGTAATGAGCGCTGTTCGGCCCCTGAGTGAAAACTAGAGGGCGAAATTAGCTATCGCCGGAATCGACCTCGACCAGGGAGAAAGGGTGACCTACCCGGCTCATTTTCAACGCCGTTTATTTTATTTTTCCGTGCGCGTTCGAAGGACAGTAAGATCAACTACTCTAGGCGTCATGTGCATGTCGAAAGTATAACTCTTTCACAGCGTGAAACCCCTGGTTAGATCTATCCAGCCATCCTTTGTCTCCACTAGTCGAATGAATGTCGTCTTCGAGTCTCTTCACTCTGTTTGTAAGCAGTTGGACTTGGCCCCCCATTTTTGATTGTCCAGAGGATTTCAGGCACATCTATTAGAGATGGGGATGTTACCCTTGAATTGTGGCAACAAAAGTGGAGGCAATTGTCGAACATACGCTCAAATCCGTTCGATCTCCATTCGCAATACGACGGTCTCCTCTCACAGTAATAATACGAAGTTTTGCCAGCCGTCCAAAGTCCGTGAGGATGTCCTTATCAGGGAGTCTAGTCCCATTCGAAAATAAGGACGCTGATACTGTTTGTTTAATCCCAACTTTTCATTAGAAACCTACCCCACTTTATCATTGACAACGTCACTTATTTGATTCAGGAGCTTTACAAGCAGGATTACAGAGAAAGGTCAATCACTAAATGTTACGAAAACTCTTGAGTATCAACACGCAGTTGCCAAATATTCAATCAATCGAACATGGGAAAGAAACGAGCCTTAGTAGCTTATGGGGTGGACATCGATGCCGTCGCTGGATGGCTCGGATCGTATGGTGGTGAAGATTCAACAAGCGATATTAGTAGAGGTAAGGCATTTCCCTATCTACAATCTTCACAGGCCTCACGCGTCAGGCATTTTCGCTGGTACTCACGGAAGTCGGCGCCTTCTTAAACTCTTTGAAAAGTACAATATCAAGGCGACTTGGTTTATTCCCGGACACAGTCTCGAGACATTTCCTGAAGAATGTGCGATGGTCCGTGACGCTGGCCACGAAATCGGCCTCCACGGATATTCTCACGAAAACCCGTCAGATATGACGTTCCAGCAACAAAGGGACGTTCTGGATAAGACCTTCCGCCTACTCACTGATTTCTGTGGCAAGCCACCGCGCGGCAGCGTAGCGCCGTGGTGGGAAGTAAGCGAGGCTGGAACTGAACTCTTACTCAGTTATGGGATTGAGTACGATCATTCAATGGGCCATGAGGACTGCCAGATGTACTGGCTTCGGACGGGCGATTCCTGGACGAAGATCGACTATGCGAAGACAGCAGCCGAGTGGATGAAGCCTCTCGTCAAAGGTAAAATGACGGGACTAGTTGAGATCCCGGGGTCCTGGTATATTGACGACTTACCACCGATGATGTTTATCAAAAACTCTGCGAATAGTCATGGGTGGGTGAATCCAAGGGACATAGAGGATATCTGGAAGGTATATGTTTTATTCTGACTCAAACGCTAACTCGCTTGTGGTCGTCTAACTTGTCTGCAGGACCATTTTGACTATTACTATCGAGAGTTCGACGAGTTTGTATTCCCTATGACCATCCACCCCGATGTTTCTGGTCGACCGCATGTCTTGCTTATGCATGAAAGGTGGCTACGCTCCTAACCCCAGTGAGTCCAATATCTCGTCACTGATATGAAGCTCTAGGATAATCGAGTACATCAACAAACACGAAGGAGTGGAATGGGTGACAATGGGGCAGATGTGTGATGACTTCAAGAGCAAAAATCCGGTCCCTGAAGGTGCCATGATGCCCGCTCCTCCAGGAGAGATCTTGAAGAAAACCGCTTTAGAGAACTGAGCAATTTATTTGGTCCATTTTCTTACATGAGAACTTTTTTTAGGGTGCAATGCAGGGCGAACCTCGTTTCTTCATTGATTCAAATTATTCTACTGGCATAATTCTATTCTCCTTTGCTTACGGAGGGCGAACACTTTCACTCTACAGAATTTGAATCACACGTCCCCTTAAATTCATTCAGCTTAGTACCTCTTACTACCTGTAGAGGCTGCTCAGGACCAAGTACTCGGTAGTGATAGTAGCATTTTCATAAGAAAAGGACGGAATTCACATTCCAGCCACAGAAAAATTTGCCCTTTGATGGTTTTGAACACAATACAGGAATGGTCAGAGCTGGTTGATTGTATCTGTCTCTCTGCCTAATCAAAGAGAGTCTGCCTGTCTATATACACTTTGGCCTGTGGTCTGAAGGCCTTTCCTAAGACCTTGGCGCCGACGTCATGCCATTGTAGATCGGTGAGATCAATGGTGTTGAGGTAAGTAGCGCCATTGGTGAGACAGTTAACATCTCAGGTGGTTTATCAAAGTGACGTTCTTGTGACCCCGTCAACAGGACCCCTCTATGTGCCGAATGAGTGTAGTGAGTTGTGCCTGCGGGACCCGTGACCGGTCTCTTCCAAGGCTGGGTCTAACAGATAGCTAGGTTTGGAGCACCAGGTAGAGGAAGCCATTGTTACACCAGTAAGTTATCACCACCGAAGTTTGCTATACATAAACGGTGGCGACGAGGTTAAAGAGCGAGAATATCGATTGTGCGACTTTTAGAAACGAATGCCAGCTAAATTTGGTAGGGCCCTTTTTTCCCAAGCACTAAGCGAAGTCGCTGTCGAAGTTGCCGTGCGGAGACATCCCGTATCTCTTATTCTCATTCCTCCCTTTCACCCAGATGTCTGAAGCTGCCTGAAGCAGTAGCGGAATTGTTTGTGTGATTAAGATCAACTTCTTGACCGGTATGTCCGGTTCCGCGAGGCTCTAACCGCAGTCTGGTCGTCTTCGGTCTCAGACGTCGGTGTGCCACTGCCACATTTCCGGTCTCCTACGTGGCTGCGCCTAACTTTCTCCAACCACTTCGCCATTCAAGAAGAGGGCGTACTTGTTGCTAAAATTAGGGACATCGCCAAAGATGACCTCAACCTCTTTACCCTTCAGTGCTGTCTTCAATGCATCCATGCTTTCCCAGGTCATTACGGCTGCCACACTGTACGGCTTAGTACCGTCGGGGCTGTCTTCGAACTTGACTACCTTCCATTCCTTCATGCCGTATGACAACCACTTCGAAAATACTAGTGGCATGTGGGTAGATAGGTAGTACTCCATGTTGAATTCCAAATCCGGAGTCGGATAGAGGACTGTTACGGTGGCGACCATGGATGTGGTAGTGCAAGGACGGCGTTGATGCAAATTGGGAAGGAGAATAACGAAGTCGATTAGATATGGCGGAAGTGGCAAGGATTAACTTTGCGTGGTCGGAAGAAAAGTAATATTCACCGGCTTTGTTGGTACGAAGAAATCAAAGATCAAGTGACTAGGGAGAGGGTATGGTTGGCGGTAGGGTTTGGAGAAGCTGGAGCGTATATGTATAGACGTGAGGAGAGCCGGTTTGTCCTTGCCTGCAGCGGGAAAAGATCGGAAGGCTCCGGTAGAACGGCAAGAGAAAACGAGCTTACTGTGGTAGACAATAAAACATTCTCGTAAAGTTGTCCGGGGCAAACTTGCACTTTTCGTTCTTGATCTGTCCATAATTCCTTGTTCTTAGTGCTTGGATTTCGACAGTAGTCCTCGATGCCGAAGGTGTGACTCGAACCAAATGCCCATATGAGATTTGTGTTTCTTACCTGTCTGGGTACCTTTCGCACCACTGGTACTTCACACGCACTTGAAAATAGTTAATTTTAAAGCGTGAGAGACTCTCTGTCCTTTATTACATAGTCTCAGGAGGCCTTGGACCCGGAAGATATATACATGTCCGCCTGAGCCCGGAGAACATGTCTAGGTGTGCCTGAAAAGGGTAAACTGGGAGCTGGTGATACCTATAATCTGATACTTCCGAGTAGTAAACACGGCTGACGGGTCAATACTGTGCAAGAATTACTAGCGGTTTTGCGGACATGTACCGCCGGTCGCACGGCGGCCACTCTCGCCATTCTCAACACCAGACCCCCGCATTCATGAGTCTCGGGAGAATAGTGAACCTGATCACCAATCCTGATTCATTTTTTGGATTCAAAAAACCAGGTGGTACTTCGAGAACTACTCTATGAGTGGGAATTCGTTTGACTCTGCCGTTAACAGTATCTATCAACTAGATACTTTGGGCTTGCTATATGTTTGTTTCTTCAGAGTCTAGAATCGAGATGATTCAGATTGAGAGGCTCCCTCCCCTGGCTATTCCCAGCGGCCAAACCGCATCCGTCAGTCTCATCGACACCACCTGTACTATCGATCACATCGACTTGCATTACCTAGTTGGGCCGCCGGTAGAGGGCGTCAGCAAACTACCCTGTATGCCCGTGTACTCGTTCTTGGTGGAAAACTTGACAGGACGAAAGGTCCTGTTTGATTTGGGCCTTCGCAAAGATCGTCAAAACCTGGCTCCCTCTGTGACAGCCGGCCTGGCAAAAGCAAGCTTTGAGGTGAACGCCACAAAGGATGTGCCTGGTATTCTCGCAGAGCATGGCTATCGACTCCAGGACATTGAGGCCATTATTTGGAGGTAAGTTCCACCAAGCTACCTCACTTGTCTGCTTATACGCCTGGCGTGGTGAAAGCCAAAGCCCAAGCCAGGCCCATTCCGTCGAGTTGACGTTCCATGTTACTGAATTGCTTGAACCGAAAGTCATCAGCACTGGGACCATACTGGTGACCCGTCTTGCTTTCCAGATAGCGTCAAACTCGTGGTTGGGCCGGGATTTCAGAAAGCGTATATGCCGGGCGCACCGGCACGCAAAGATTCTCCCATCTCGGAGTCTGATTACCGGTTGGTCCCTGCCCTCTCCTTCGTCTTCTTATCCTTTGTTCCTTGAAGGCCGTTTACTTACACGAAATTTGGCGATGAAGAGGAAAAGAGATCGTGGAGATTAACTTTGACCAGCAAGGCTGCACACGGCTGAGCGGCTTCAAAGCTCATGACTACTTTGAAGACGGATCGCTTTATTTACTAGATGCACCAGGTCATGCGGTCGGGCACATCATGGCATTGGTGCGCACCACTACTGACCCCGACACTTTTGTCTGTTTGGGTGCCGATGCAGTTCACGACACCGGCGAGCTTCGACCGTCAAAATATGTTCCGGTGCCTGAATCGATTCCTTTCCCCAGCCATACCCACATGTTAGGAGGAATGACTACGTGTCCAGGCGTCTGGGTAGAGCGCTTGCAAGCGGAACGTGGAAGAACCCCTGACCAAAGCCTCTTTGTCACGGTGCACAATCATAGTATACCTGATGCGGTGGAGACGATTTCAAAATTACAGAGGTTGGACTGTGACAACAACATCTTCGTGGTTTATTCGCACGATGAAGCATTGAAGGGAGTGTTGGATGAGTTTCCAAGGACATTTAATCGGTGGAAGCAGATGGGATGGGACAAGCAAAGTAGGTGGCTGTTCCTGAGACATTATGTGCCAGAGTTGAGAGCTGCAAAAGAGTCAACCGGATAGGAATGGTATCGAGACGGCCTGAGTACGGCCTGAGTATGTGATGCTAGACACAGTAGTTGTGTGTATGGCCATGCTCCAAGACCACTTGTACTACGACGAACCCGCCTCAGAGGCCAATATACCTTTAATTTCGTTGATGGCCAAATCCTTCTTGCTGGCCCCAGTCGCTCGTCCCTGAGGTCCCGGGTTGTTGTATAAGGGGATCGGGCGCCATTTCTCCTCTTCATCGTCTGTGACTTCCAATATGGTGCCGGCTGGATATCTGTTGTTCTTGTTTACGGTCACAGCATACATGGCACCAGCAAGAACCGAGGGTTCAAGCATGTAGTCTTTCTCCGGGTCTAGCCAGTGTCGAACCTGTGGATCCGAAAGCATGAGAGGCGTTTTGATAGACCTATTATAGAATACATCTTAGCATCTATGTCAGTCATAAATTGGTACAAAAGACGCTTACCCAGGCGCAATACAAACGACCCGGATCCCGTAGAGATCGTCCAAGCCTGCCTGCCCCCGAACAAAAGCAACCACTCCATGTTTTGCCACAGAGTAAAGAGGGGTGACCAAGCTGGCCGTTTCACAAGCGACACTGGATATGTGCAGGATTGTTCCTTTTCTGGCAGCCTTCAACATTTGCCTGATGGCGATACGTGTGATTTTGATTGGATGGAGTAGATCAATGTCGAGAATTTTGTAGTGAGATGCAGGATCCTTATCGGCCCAGAAGCCTAATGATGGCTGTCGAAGCCGTCAACTTCGAGACCAACCTCCAACTAGAAACATGAGAGACGAACTTACAGGTTCATAGATACCAGCCCCTGCGCAGATAATATCTGGGCTCTTTCCAAATTCTTTCTCAGCTATATCAAAGATTATTTCCAGTTGAACCCAATCCGTGACATCGGTCCGATGAAATATCACTTTTGCTTCTTGATCATCTGTTGCAGCCGATTTGACAAATGCTTCAGCTTCGGGGCGGAGACCGATGTCTGCAATCAAAACGCTGCATCCTTGCGCGTAGAGAAGCTTTGTATATTCAAAGCTGATACCTGAGTTCCAACGACTCAATTAGCTTCTAATCTGTGGAAATATTATTTCGAATTCTCGATGATGCTGGGGCTAGAATCAACAGATCAAAAAAGACTTGCGTACCTGAGCCAGCACCTGTCACAATTGCGGATGCGCCTTTTAGCCTGATTACAGACATTTCGGTTTCATGTATGAGATGATGAAGTTGCAGTTCTACGAGATGTGCTCAAGCTCGAGCCGGTGACCAGAACGGCACTTCACCTTTGGTTTAGCCGTTTCTACACAAGTCCTCTTCCTTGCAATTCACCACGTTAAAATCTGACATCTCCGGATTGTCAACCCCGCCCACATTTGATTACTTGGGATTTGAGAATGAAGTCGTAGGGAGCTGTACTATGCTCAGCAAGGGGAAAACGTGGGCCCGGACATAGAGTTCCGGGGCAGGTTGAGGGGCGCAGACTCACTCAATGCAGCACAACGAGTAGCTAAAGCAGTTCTTCGGCTTCTCAAGGGGCCTCGGAGTTGACACTTTCGAACCTCAATGCTGGGCCACTCTCTATCTGGATACGAAGGGGATATCTTGTCCGAAAGGTCAGCTTACAACAGACAAATTGCTTAGGGATATCATGCAGATTAACTCAACAATTTATGTCACGAGCACCTTCATGTGGGTGATTTTCTTGCAGGTACGAATTGTTAGAGTTCAAATTACACATCATGGCATCAGCCACTGTCAACAAACTCCCCAACTGGCTTGATGCAGAGAGCAATTTTGATGCAGACGCCCTGCAAGCCAAATATCGCGAGGAACGAGACAAAAGACTTCGGACCGAGGGACTGAACCAATACCAGTCCGTGGATGAGAGCGCTCTCAAGCACTACGCCGAGGACATTTGGACGCCCCGAGTGGAACGGAGTCCGGTTGAGGAGAACATTGACTACTTAATTGTGGGAGCCGGGTTCAGCGGAATGCTTTTAGCGGTCCGTCTAATTGAAGCGGGTATCAGCGACATCAAAATAGTCGACAAGGCCGGCGATTTTGGTGGGACGTGGTATTGGAATCAATATCCAGGAGCGGCTTGTGACATTGAAGCCTATATCTATATGCCACTGCTGGATGAAACCGGCTATGTCCCAACCGAAAAGTATGCAAGAGGTCCCGAGCTGTACGAACACAGCCGGAGGATTGCGCAGATGTACAACCTATACAGCAAGGCACTCCTTCAGACCGAAGTAGAGACTCTGATTTGGAATGAGCTTAAGAAATGCTGGGAAGTCTCGACAAACCAGGGCGATAAACTCCATGCCCGTTTTGTAACCACGGCCGGCGGCTTACTACATAAAATGAAGTTCCCGGGGGTGCCTGGTATCGACAGCTTCAAAGGCCACAGCTTTCATACGAGTCGATGGGACTACAGCTACACGGGGGGCAATCAGCAAGGAAATCTGACCGGTCTGAGCGACAAACGAGTGGCTATTATCGGAACCGGGGCGACCGCCCTGCAAGCCGTTCCACAGCTCGGCCGCTGGGCGAAGCATCTCTACGTGTTCCAACGTACGCCCTCTTCTGTCGACGTCCGACTTGATCAGCCAACAGATCCGGAATGGGCCAAAACTTTGACTAAGGGCTGGCAACAGAGACGGATGGATAATTTCAATATTCTGGTCTCGGGCGGTCACCAGGACGAGGATCTCGTGAGCGATGGGTGGACTGACATCCTCACCAATATCTCCATCTCGGGAAAAATGGTCGAGGAGAGTAGAAAAGCTACCAATCCAATTAAAGCCGCCGAAGAATTGCAAAAGAGAATGCAGCTAGCGGACTTTAAAAAAATGGAGCAGGTGCGACAGCGGGTTGATTCTATCGTTAAGGACCCTGAGACGGCAAATTCTCTCAAACCATGGTACAATTTTATGTGTAAGCGCCCTGGTTTCCATAACGACTATCTCCCGACATTCAACAGACCCAATGTCACTCTTGTCGACACACAGGGCAAAGGCATCGAGAAAATCACGGAGAAAGGTGTGGTGGCTGACGGAAAAGAATACGAAGTCGATTGCATTGTCTACGCCACAGGATTTGAATACATTGGAAACGACTATAGCCAGCGTATGCGCATCCAGATGAAAGGCCGCAATGGAGTAGCCCTTCACGAGTATTGGAAAGATGGACCCCGGACCTTTCACGGCCTTTACACACGTGGATTTCCGAACCATTTCATTATGAGCGTGACCCAGTCTGCGGTGGCGCCCAATTTCTCGCACATGCTCAACGAGCAAGCAAAACACATTGCTTATGTGGTTGCGGAGGCCAGCAAGCGAGAAGCCACCGTGGTGGAAACATCTGCAGAAGCCGAACAGGAATGGATTGATACCATTATTGAGCTGGGAAAACTGCGTGAAGACTTTTTGAGAGAGTGTACACCCAGTTATTACAATGACGAAGGCAAGATATCGCGCAAAACCCTCCAAAATGGTCGTTATGGCTTGGGATCTCCGGCTTTTATTAAACTGCTGGAAGACTGGAGAGCCGCGGGGACCCTCCAAGGTCTGGAATTTGATGGTGAGCCGGTGGCAAAGGGGCCGGCGGTCGTGAATCACGTCGTGACTGCCAGCGAGAAGGTTCCTCTGAGTGAACACATTCAGGGAGTGGAGAGTTTGATTCCAGTGGTGTAGACTGAATGGAGTGAGCAGAATAGACCCAAGTATGTGCTGAAGATGCTTGGATGCGCATCTAAACCTGAGCTGGCTTAGTCTTGATTCATGGATACCAAATATTCTGCTTGTCCAATGTAAAGGCCATTAATTTGGTATTCGTAACTGTCAATTATGCTACCATAGCGATATCTCGTATATGGTCGTTGCGTTGTTCCATGATCACAATCAATCTGTTCAGTTTCTCTGCACTGCAGCATGCATTGTTGTCCTGAAAAAGAGGAATTGGAAATTGGTACTGACTCTGTCTTACGAAGGAACAGTATTTTCTATCTGATTTGTACCTATTCTGAACGTTTGAAAACACAAGAAAAGGAGAGAAAATAGGAGAAAAGACACTAATGCATCTTTCAGGGGTGACACTGCCTGTTGAAGGCAGAAATCGCTTTTCTCCGCGTCAACAGGGAGGAAAGTTGTGTTTTATAGGCTCTGAGTCCTGCAAGGCCCAGGAGTAGTGCAGAATACAGTAGGCTTGTGACGTGAATGATGCTTATCAAGCGACAATTGTGTTTTCCACAGCCAAATTTAGCTAGTAGAAAATACCTGTCATAACGGAAACATCTGCTTTGAGGCCAACACGCATACCATATGATATATGCCAATTTAACACGACATGTCCTGGCCAGGTTCTAGCTTGTAGCGGGTGTCTGTGCCACAAATGCTCTGCTTCTGGCACCAAACAGCCTATTTTGACATGTTTTATAACCTACTACTCGACCATTCTCTCCTGCTACTTACTATCTAGCCATTAGACCGCCGTCGACGAAAATGCTGGACCCGGTCACAAAATCCGAGGCGGCACTGCAAAGAAACACAACAACCCCTCGAAAATCTGCAGGTGTGCCCAAACGTCCAGCAGGTGTGCGATTGGTAATGTACGAAGCCATCTCCGGGTTCTGGGATGAGAGCGAGATGGCCGACGCAGCGGTCGAGTATCTACCCACGATTTAGTCAGCAAACTGGGGTCATGGATATGTCATAGGCCATATGGCTGTTACTAAAATGCTAGAAATGAAAATAAACTGAAACTCAAGGCCTACCCAGGAGAAATATTGTTGACCTGTAATAGGCACAGTGGTTAGATATGGTTGACAGTAACACCGTGGCACGATGCAAGATTTAATGTTGTTCGTACCTGAATACCCTTTGCCGCCCATTCATTGCTAAATGCTTTGGTCATTTGCAATACTCCTGCCTTGGCAGCCGCGTATACAGATACATCCGTCATAGCGAGATGAGCGGTTGCCGATCCAAAATTAATAATCTTCCCTTTACGCAGGCGTTGAATCATGCGTGACCCGACTTCTTGGGCGGCAACATATGCAGCTTTCAAATTGACTGAGAGGACCTAACCACGAGGAATAGGACTCGTTTGATGAGTACAGCTTTTTGTTTTACCGTGAAAGAAACAAGGAAGACTTTACGTACCAAATCAATATCCTCGTCCTTCATATTCTCGATTGGGCCACGACGGTTCATGATCGAACAGTTGAGCAGAATATCAGGCTCGACTCCCGCACCCCATATGTCATGAAAGCAACGTCTCAGGTCAGCCGAGTCGCTTACCTCGCTGTGAAAGACGCTAAATTCACGACCTGACTTGTGTATTGACTCTTCGAGTTGACCTGCGGGCGGGTCCCAGGAGGACAGGATGGCAACTACATCGGCTCCTGCTTCGGCTATCGCGAGGGTCATTTCCGGACCCAGTCCCGTCGTTGCTGATTCTTATTGGTTAGCTGGACACTCTAGGCTTTGGGACAAGGTACAGTAGATGGATTGCAGAAGGACAATCGGCGAAGGATAGAGCAGAAAAACGATGCATGGCCTACAAACCTCCCATTACGATAGCCGTTTTCCCGTGTAGAGAAAAGAGATCCGGAAGAGGAATCCGGCTCCCTTCGTCCACACTCATTATGGGATTCCTCGATCAATGGAACTGCCAGTATTCTCACTCCTGACCAGGCTACCCCGCTGGTAGTTCGTAGGGAATGAATAAGAATTGTATCTGGCCGCCTCTGGAGACATTGAGGAGCTATGTACAACCAAAAGCCAATTAAAGGTCCCGGGTTACATCCCCGGACCCTCAACGGCAGCCCAAAGAGCGTCCGGGGAAGCATTCTCCGACTCTACAGAGTCGTCCAACTCTCTTCTTTGGTGGGCAAAGGAAGAACTAGAGCCAGAACTATACAAGACTTTCTAGAATGTTTCTTTTGGTGTCGTTTCGACCTGTACATTCTCTAATCCCGTCTTTACCTTCGTGTCTTTCCTCTTTCCCGAAGTTGACAAATTCGATAGCTCGCTTGGAGTAGACGTATCGCCACGATGCAGCTTCGTAAAGGTATTGAGAATTATGAACAGAGAGGGCCAGCGGCGAACGGCACTGCCATACCTAACGGGATAAACGGGGTGAATGGCATCACCAATGAAGGCAATGGATCACACCCCAAAGCCCCTGTCAGCTCTTCAATAACCGAGCCTGAGAAGCTCGACGTGTTGATCGTCGGTGCAGGCTTCGCAGGCATTTACTTACTGTACAACCTGCGCCGGAGGAACTTCAATGTCAAGATCGTGGAGATGGCCACCGACCTAGGAGGCGTGTGGTACTGGAACCGATACCCCGGAGCACGGGCCGACACACATTACCCGCTCTACGCACTGTCCCTGCCAGAGGTATACCGCGACTGGGTGTGGAAATCCCATTATCCCGACTCAGAAGAACTGCGCGAATACTTTGCGCACGCAGGCAGAGTGCTCGAGACCAAGAAAGATACATACTTTTCCACGAAAGTGACAGACGCCGAATGGGACGAGCACCGCAACCTATGGACCATCCAGTGCGATACAGGCAAAGTGTTTGAAGCAAATTACTTTATTGCGTCGATCGGGTTTGCCGCCAAGCCATATATTCCGGACTGGGAGGGTCTTGAGACGTTCAAGGGCGTCATCCATCACAGTTCCTTTTGGCCCAAAGAAGGATGCGATGTCAAGGGGAAGAAGGTTGGCGTGCTCGGGTCGGGGTCCACGGGGATACAGATCGCACAGGAGTGGGCTCATCAGATCGGTGAGAAAGGCGATCTTAAGATGTTCCAGCGCACGCCCAACCTATGTTTGCCCATGAACAATGTGGTTTTGACTCCGGATCAGCAGGCAGAAGATAAATTGAGATATCCCGAAATATTCGACAACCGATGGAAAACTCAAGGCGGATTTTCCTATCAGCCACGCAAGGAAAAGATGCTTGATGCTACACCCGAGGAGCGAGAGGCATTGTTTGAAGAATTATGGAAGATGGTAATATAGACTATCCCCGACAGTTTCTTTTGTTTTGCCTTTTCTAGTCGCCTGATGCACTAAGTAATCACAAACTAATCAGCACTCCGCCAAATAGGGAGGCTTCCGATTCCTCATGAACAACTACTCGGACATGATGAAAGATTTTACTGCAAACCGCGAGGCGTACAACTTCTGGCGGCGAAAGACGTTGCAGCGCATCCGGGACCCTCGAAACAGAGAGCTCTTTGCCCCTGAGCAACCCCCTCATCCGTTCGGCGGCAAACGACTCGCCCTCGAAGTTGACTTTTATGAGCAATTCGAGCGGCCCAACGTCAATGTCATTGACATCAAGACCCACCCCATCGTTCGATTAGAACCAACGGGCCTAGTCACGTCGGATGGCACACTGCACGAGCTAGACGTGATCGCGGTCGCCACAGGCTTTGACGGCATCACCGGCGGTCTAAATAACATCAACATCCGCGGTCGAGGCGGGCAGCTCCTCCGTGAAAAATGGAATGATGGTGTACTGACGTATCTGGGCCTGCTTTCGGCTGGATTCCCTAATTTCTTCTTCACCTTTGGACCCCAGGCGCCGACGGCATTCAGCAACGGGCCCACTTGCATCGAACTGCAGGCCGACTGGCTGGTGGAGACGTTGGTATATCTGCGGGACAATGGATGTAAGAGCATCGATGTCAGGCCCGAAATGGAGGTAGAATGGAAGAAGACAGTGGTTCAATTCAGCGAAACGGGCGTCAGGCATCACACCCGCTCGTGGTGGAACGGAGCTAACATCCCTGGAAAGGTGCATGAGCCACTGAACTGGGGAGGAGGTATTCCGCTGTACTTGAAGATTGTGAATGAGATCAAAGAGACCGGCTATAAGGATTTTGAAGTGAGATAAAGAGATGACGAATGGCTAAAGGAGGGTTTGGGCTCGTCGGTCGGCTGTCGCGGGAGATAGACAGTTTTCCACAAGGTGTTGTGTATTTATGGCAGATACATTCGATGATTAAATACGGGCTACCACAGGTCTGACTTGTTTAGAAATCACTGATTCCAAAGATTCTAAATTAGTCGAGGAGAGCGAAATGGATATCTCCTTCCTACAAACATTCTCCTTTTAGCTGGTCATGGACATTTATTTGCTGACCTATCTTCAATGTGATTGCAAGTTGCGATTCAGGTGGCGATACTGTGTACCTGGAGAGAAAAGTAGGCACCACGCCTATCACTTTCAGTGCTTTCAAGTTGGTTGGTAGTAGGGGTATAGGTGACTATAGTCCATCGTGGTGGCCGTTTATGGTACTCTGCAATAAAGCAGCAACAGTCGATACCTGTTTTAATACTAGCGGTTTTCGTATACAGTTAGTCTCCTCTGCTCGTCGAGTAGTAAAGCCTTGTCTCGCCCCGGGGTGCAAGATCCGACCTTTGGTCTCTGCGGACTTCGAGTCCCGGGCGGATGTCTTTGAGTTCTCGATGTGTACCCTGTATGTACTCAGTACCCCGGGCCCTTTTCTTTTGCCCCCTTCCCCAGCCAAATCCCCGGGGTTCGGGGTAAACAGACCCCAGAGACAATCCCATCGCAGATTTTATACGGAACATAGACCTGCGGGCTCACTGGTATAAAGACTGAATTTCTTCCCCTTCGTTTCTGGAGTGCGCCTCCTCGACTCTTCATCTAAGTTCCTCTCCGTTCCCGAGGAGAACTTGAAGCACCAGCATCTGCTCCCACACTTGCGCTTGCCCAGGTTCTCTCTGTCGATGTCATCGGCCCAGCTCTCCGCCATCACCATGGAGGACAAAACCATGCCGGACAAAATCGAAGTCGAGGTATCCCCAGACAATCTCGAGAACGGTTCCGGCGGGGTTCAAAGGCACACGGTGCTCGAGTTTGACGATGCCATGGTGCGCAATGAAGAGCGTGCCCCAGAAGCACGAGGATTCCATTTCGCCCAGCTATCCAAGAATTATTGGATCAGTCCGGCCTTTTTGGGCAGTTATTTTGCCTCTGCTTTCACCTTTACTGCCACCGTGGGGGGCTACGCCCAGACCGCACCTCTTCTTTCTTATATCAACGACGACCTTGGTCCCAGTGACTCTATCAGTGTAAGACAAAACTCGTGTCTACCTCAAACCCTCAAGCATTTGACTAATGGTCATGTCATGGCCCTCGACAGTACGCTCCTCTCGCCAATGTGATCGCATCTGCAGTTGTCCTCCAAATGGTCGGCTGCCTGAGCGACATTTTTGGGAGACGTTGGTTTTTCATCGGAGGCTCGTGTCTCGGGCTTCTAGCCGCCATTCTGGGCGCCACGGCACAGTCCATTACGCAGATTGTGGTCTCACAGGCCCTTTTTGGCGCTGCCCTAGGATTCGGCCTCTCGTTCTTCTGGGTCATATCCGAAATCGTGCCCATGAGATGGCGCTTTCTGGCAGTATCGGGCGTGTATATTCTTAGCATGCCTTGCAATCCGCTTGCTGCTAAAGTTGCCCTTCAATTTCAAGTATGTTACAAGCCACTCTGAAGAAACCAAGATTCCTGGCTAAAACAAAATCCTCCGACATAGTTCTCTACCACCTCTCACTGGCGGGGGTGCTACTATTTCCTAATCGGACTAAATGCACTGACTGTGTTGCTGTGGGTGCTCTGCTACCACCCGCCAACGTTCAAAATGCTGCATCGTCGCAAGAGTGCTATGGAGATTGTCCTCCAATTTGACTGGATCGGTCTGGTGATCTATTCGCTGTCCCTGATCCTGTTCATCCTCGGCTTGGACTGGGGGGGTAACCTCTATCCCTGGAATTCAGGCCATGTGATCGGCTCTTTGGTTGGAGGAGGTGTTGGATTTGTTTGTTTTGCGTTGTGGGAAATCTTTCTTCCCATTTCTACGGTTCACCCGCTTCTGCCTATGCATTTGTTTAAGAACGCCAGATTCCAAGCCTGCTCATGGCTTACGGGCATTGGGGCCATAACCTATTACGGCTTCAGCCTGGTATGGCCACAGGCAGTGCGATCTCTGTACGACGGCGTCAGCCAGTCTCAACAAAGCACCCTGACCACCACGCTGATCCTCTGTTTCGTGCTCGGTCAATTTTCTGGTGGAGTTATTGCCGAGATCGCTGGCGTGCGCGTGGGCGCGATTGGCAGTGCCTTTGCTGCCCTTCCGCTGCTCGCTGGGGCGGCGACTGATCCTCGCAACCTCAATCTCACCATCGGACTGGCGGCCACGGGCTGCTTCATGGTGGGCGCCAACGAAGGCGTTGCCCTGACCGCCGTCACTTTCCCCATCAAAAGCCAGGAAGAGCTCGGTGCGGCTGGTGGCCTGGCTGGAACGATCCGTCAGTTCTGTGCCTCATTTGGTACGGCCGTGTTTTCTACGATCTTGAACAACCAGCTCAAGTCCAAAGTCCCTCGATATGTCCAAGATGCTGTATTGGCTACTGGACTGCCTCAGTCATCGGTACCGGCCCTTCTTTCGAGAATCAATAACATTACCGCCGTGACCAACGAGACAGTACCTGGGTTCAACAGCCAGATCGAAGCTGTTGCCAGAGATGCGCTTCGAAATGCACAAGCTTCATCGTACAGTACCGTCATCTACACCAGCGCTGGGTTTGCGGGAGTTCTCATTCTGCTCTGCTGGTGGGTTCCAGGGTTCGATCACAACAAAAAGGATTTCGTGGCTGGCCATATTCATCAAACGACCGAAGAAAAGAAGTTAGAGCAGGAGTAACGGGGGGATTCCTGGTCTATCTATAGGTGCAATTGGGACTGCCGGGCTCGCTGGTTGTAAATACCCTGTTTCCATCTACAATCCTGGCTCGTATATCGAGCATCTTCCTGATGCTGGTGAGATGATGTGGCTACCTTTTAAGTACAATCGTATGTGATTGACGGTCAATTACAATTAAAACCCCCTTTTCCATTTTATTCCATGTCCACGTTCTACACGATCTTATGTGTGTGGTGAATGGCATTGGCGCCGCAGATAAAGAGTTGGTGTCCCTACAGAGTTCCACTCCTCTTGGGGCTACGGAGCGATAGAGCTTGATAGTCAGTTCTGAGCACCGAGTTATCCAAACGCATATAATCCAAAACAGACAAACGAACCGGGTTTAAGAACTCCGGGGCTCGGCATATCATGACCGCAGGGCTACCCGTCGACCCTCTAGGCCTCAATCTCCGTTAATACAGAAGAAACTGATAGTTTTCCCCTACAAAACAAAGACTCAATCTTGAAATAAAAATAGTCGAATTCACCTCCCAAACTACAGGCCATATCTATCGGTCCTTATCTCTCTGTTTCCCTCCCTCCTGACCGTACCGTTGGTAGTCATGTCCTCGTTCGCCTTCACGTCCGAAATCGCATTCGCTCTTTACCGGCCTCATAATGAAGAAGGGCCTGAATGGCTGCGTTTCCGCCAAGGGGACCACTCAGGCCTTCTGTACAAAGTGATTGAAAATCCTATGGGCCGACCCGCGCCTGACGATAAGACGTATTTGGTTATTTCCTCGCAGATACGAACAACACCAGAAGATGCGAATGCCGGAACTCTTTTAGATTCAAAGTATGCCGACACAGAGATTAGAACGTATACCCTCCTTGAGGTATATGATCCCAGAGGCTTGGGGATTTCGAGTAAGTTCATAGTTGACTTTGACCCTTGAGTGAGACGTTTGCATTTTCATTGGCTTTGTTTGCATGTCTTATTGTTTTACTTGTCAAAGGGACCAACAGGAAGAAGGCATAAAGTGCTGTCATATACTGCCCAGTCTGCGCCACAAGTTGATGCAACGAAGTTTTGATAATCCAGTGAATGTGAAAGGTCTCAGCTTTGAACACCTGAGCCATGTGGATTGAAATGCAGGGCTCCGGACCTGTCAGTGTATTTTACGCTGTCCAAAATGTTTCCAATTTATTGGGGCAAAACGTGCGCTTTTGGGCCTCGACGCCTCAGTAGCCTGAAGTCAAGACTTAACTGACATTAGAACCTATAGATGCTGTTTCGCCGCTCATTCTTCAGGCCGAAGCGAGTCCTGCTGATATCAAAGAGTTTCAAGAGTATGTATTCGTTTCTGTCATCCAAGCCCTCACCGAAGAAGATGAATTGGCGAAAAGCTCATTCTTACCCGTTTTCCTTTTTCCTTTTTTCTCATTCTTCTAGAGTCCCTCTCTTTCTCCACCCTCATTCTTTCCAACTCCATCCGTTTCTCTTTCATTTCACGACCAAATGCGCACAGTGCAAAACAGATGCTAAACATTGGCCGTCAATTACAGCTTCTACCGCGTCGACCACACAGTCATGATGGCGAAGCACCCTGGATATCGGCGCACGGCATTGTACCAGCTGCAATCCGTACTCAAACCAGCTCAGCAACCCCAAGAACCAGCGCCTGTTCTCATCCTGCACGAGTTCGACACGTTTGATGAAGTGGGCGGGCCGATTACACAGGCTTCGATCGTGACGCCTTTGGCAACAAAGGTTTTTGGGGCTGTCAAGTCAATGATTTCCAGGGGAATACAATTGGAAAGCGCGGGCAACAAGTAGTGATGAAGATGTGGAACACGCCCGCCCTAGCGCTAAATAGCATGATGCGGCTAGACGTACCTCAATGTTGAAGAAGATTGTAGAAGCATCTCTGGGCTGCTTGGGATCTACCAGCTATGTTGGGCATGCCAACCAGAAAAATTAAAATAGATATACAAAAACAAATCAAGTGAGCTGAGAGCTCAAAATGGCATCGAGCCCAACCCAAATGTAAAGTCATCCTGTAATAGCTGGTTCCCAACTACTCGATCCAGCCAGAACGGCGTGTTCCAGGCGTCAAAGTCCAAAGTCTGCAGGAAGTCTGCATTAGCAATCCCAATCCCGGCCCCGGTCCCAATACCAGCCTCGGTTCCTGCGCCTGCGCCTGAATCGCCCACCATGTCTATATCACCGGCACAATAAGCCCCAGCGCCAGGCCCATTGCCATTCTCAGCGGGATAAGGCTCCAACGGCGCAACCACATCCTCCGTGAGTTTCGATTTCAGCATTTGCAACGGCCTAGTTAGACCGGCGTGGCTGCCATGCTTGAGATCAACAAGCGCAGACCACAAGTAGGGCACACAATCGGGGAAATTGACGCGGGTTTCGCGCGAGTGGATTAAAACCAGTATGGCGTGATATGCTGCGTAGCACAGGATATACGGCGCACGTTGCAGAGTGAAGGTGTTTTTGAAGGTTTTGACTAGGGCCCAGATTTTCAGCGAGGCCGCAGCGCACTCTTTATCAACCACAGAACGAAATTCTGGGTCTGCATAGGCTGAGAGGTGGCCATTACTCATGAACGGGCGCCAGACCAGGATCACTAGGGTCCAGTATGTGGTACTATTTTGTTTGTTAGAGCTCTAGCGGTCTTTTGTGTTGGGTTGGCAGAGCAGGGCAGAACAGATCAAAGCAGGGCATATTAGGCCAGAGAAGGGTAGGGCAGAGTAGAGTAGTGTGCATACAACAGAGCCACGTAGGCAAAATCAGGGAGTAGTAAAGCAGGGTGTAAAAGGGTAATGCAACCCATTGGCAAGACTTACTGGGGATTCAGCTGGTGTGGAGGCGGACTGTGCGACCCCTCTGGATCACAGAGCAGATGGGGCGGGAGCTCCTTCTGCCACCGATCCAGCTTGTGCAAAAACTCAACTCGTCTCTCCAGCGCGGCTTTCTGGCCTAGCTTCAAGCTCTCCATGGAATAGAACGTGTCCATGATCTCAGTCGCAATTTCCGCCAGACGGAGCAGCGCCTTGAACGAACTCACACCGTAAGCCGGTCGAGGGACATGTGCTTGAGGCGACATGATCTCGCCGAACGAGTCAGACTCGGAATCTACGTATGGCGACCACGGCTCATACTCTTCAAAAGCATCCAACAGTTCTTTGGAAACTCGTGCTTCGGACTGGCGCAGCGCCGGCGCTCGCCCGAGATATAGCGACTGGAACTTGTCAATCACAAACGCGCCCCAGTAGAGTCGTTTACGGACTTCGGTCCCGACAATCTCTCGCGAACCTTGCTCCGTCCGTCGAGGGTCAGCAGTCAAGTGGCAGCCCAGTTCGATTATCATGCGGTATGCGGTGCCGCAAAGGACCCAACCTCCTCCTTGTTTGCCATAAGCGACTAGACACTGTCCTGAGAGCAGCAGGGCGATGGCGGTCGGAATACTGGGTTTGTCGATCTCGTCAACCAATAATTCCTTGAAGCGGCGGTAAAACTGAGCTCCCATGGTCTGAGGATCATCTGGGTCGGCACGCAGCGATTTCCGATCACTGTATTGACAGCTTGTGTAGTATATGGCGTTGAGGAGGAGTTTGTTGATATAGGGCCCACCCGTCCGCAAACTCTCCATTATCGCAGGTCGGTAGGTCAAGAGATACGTGAAATGCTGTCTGTTCCAATGGATGTCCAGAAGATGCTTTGCGGTCTCGGGGGATACTCCATCGAGGTCAAGGTCGTTGTAGAGGAGAGGGTCTGAAAACAAAAAGTTCTCATGTTGTTTCTGCAGGGCTGCGTACGCGATCAGGCGGTGAGATACCGATTCAAGTTCATTGCTCCTGGCCGGAACATCCAAGGTGTCGCCATCTTCACCAGTCCTGACTGATTCTTGGTGAAACGTGCTAGTCACACCGTGGACTTGGAGATAGCCATCCCGAGAGATGGCGCCTGCGATGTTTGCTTCAGACGGCGACGGTCCACCGGTGCGCTGTGCACTCTCCTCCAAATCCGATTGAGGCCGTCCCGATGGCAATGGAGCAGCATATGTCTCTAGGATGCCAGAAGTGCTGCGGCGGTTGGGGATGGAGGTGATAGGCGCCTGGGCGAAGTCGAACTCATTCCTGAGGCTCGATTCGCCTGACCGTAACTGTGGGGTAACAGGTTCTTTGGGCGATTCGGACTTCTTCCGGTACTCCTCCACCAGTTTTCGGAGCTGTGAGATCTCCCGCTGTAAATTCGAGACATCGCCCTTCATGGTGCCGACCGTACGACGGGCGTCCTCTAGGTAGTCGCATGGCTGGCCTGATGTCGAGCAGGATGTGCATTTCGGGCGATCCCCACTGCACTTGATCTAATGAGAAAAGGTTGGCTCCTGAACCCGGACAAGAGACAGTGTAGGCGCTTTGTGGTCGCCTACCTTCTTGGAACGACATCTCATACAACTCCGGCAAAATTTTCGCGCCTTAAGATGCTCATTGTTAGACGCTGGTAAGGGTATTGCCTGATCCTGCTCAGTCCAAGGCTGCACCCCAATCGACGAGACTGGTTCTTCTGTAACCTGGGACATTGTCATACAACAACTCATGAGGCCAGAGCATACACACGCAGCAGGTAGTTCCGGTACGTGAACGGGTTTCGGGGATGCGAGTGGCGGGTATCAGCATTTATAAGCCGTGGACCTCTGCTCCCCTCTCCCAGCAACCCTCGGCCCCAGCGGTAGATGAGCTCCGCTTCCAAGACCTTCAGACCTTCTGGGGCCCCGTTATAACCCCCCAACCCGCACTGCTCGACATCCAGTGGAGACTAATGGGCCGGTTTTATATCATCAACAAGGTTCAGAAACCCTGATGCTCGGTGTTCACCTCCGATGGGAGTTTGTGGTAGTACGCGGGCTCGGTGGCATGGCATTGCATAGCAAGCTATTCGTAGTTCACAACGAATTCTCAGGTTATAAGTGAGTGCCAAAAAAAAGAGGTGTACATAAATATTGATCTCTCCTCCTAGACCCTTGCAAGTTGTTCTGCTATGTTCATTCCAGTTACTTGATCATTTGTGCCACTACCATCGCTACCAAATTCCAATAGTGCCACATCTTCAGCATGTCAAGTTTATTGGCCTCCAAAGTCGCCATTGTGACTGGTGCTGCTGGCGGTCTTGGAAAAGCCATTGCCAAAGCTCTGTTAAATGCCGGAGCGACCGTACTTATCATCGACATCAATGCGACAATGCTGAAAGAGGCCAAAGCAGAATTATCTACCCTGGGCGAAGTCCACGACATCTGCGCCGACTTGACGCAAGCCGCTGCAACACAAGACACTGTGAAAGCAGCTGTGGACAAGTACGGCAAACTCGACATCCTGATCAACAATGCCGGCGTTATGGACACGTTCACGCCCATCGGCGACGTGGAGCTCGACTATTGGGACCGCATCATTAGCATCGACCTGACTATCGCGGCGCGCATGTCTAAATTTGCCGTGCAAGAGTTCCTACGTCCCGGACGGCTAGGACCACAAGGCGGAGTTATCTTGAATGTCGGCTCCATCAATGGCCTGCGCGGCGGCCTTGCAGGGGCAGCGTATACGACGGCCAAACATGCATTGGTGGGCTTGACGCGCAGCACGGCAGCTCACTATGCGACCAAGGGGATTCGCGCGAATATTATCATGCCGGGGTTGATGGAGACCAATATTCGAACAGCCTACGTCAACGGAGTGCATGAGGAAGGCAAGACCCTAGCTTTCAGTCTCCTCGACCAGAACCCGGCGACCGTTAATATTGAGAAATTGGGCAAATTAGTGGCATTTACTTGCTCAGATGATGCCGATTATCTCAATGGCGCGATTATCAGCACCGACTGTGGCTGGCAGGCTATATAGACGCATGAGAGTGGGGGTTCTGATGTTGTCAATTGAGAGATTGAGATTGTCCTGTATAGGCTCTGTGAGACTCGGAGCTTGACATGATGAATTGGCTCTGGAACGCTGGCAATCCAAGACCTTATAATTTGGTGGAAATAGATTTCGTTTCCATGTTCTAGCGAAAGTCATCGACCTTGTGATTTCCAGTCTAGGCCAGAAATGTCAGCTCAGACTTCACAGGTACCTGAGTTACTACTCGGGATTCGCGGAAACCACATTCGGGAGGGTAAGGAGTGAAATACCCTGCTCCTCTCATCTAAATGTTGTATGATGACGTCCGAAGTCTGAAAATCTGGCATGCCATCTATCCTGTACTCCTGCCTCGTTCGTGCGAGGCTACCACTGCTGGAACAGAGCCGTTTGCCTCGCCAACATCCAGGGCCACCAAGAAGCGGCTCACCATATTGTAAGCGGCGCACGTCAGCGTGATTTCGACAATCTCTTGTTCATTGAACTGGAGCCGACGCAACTCGTCGAACACCTCCTCGGGAACTGAAACGTCGTTGGTCATCGCGTCGCTGTACCGCAGCACCGCCCACTGGCGATCATTCAAGGCTCCTTGACCAGCAGGATGAAGTTGGCTCAACACATCTATGTGGGCCGCGGTGACTCCAGGGGCGGCCTCAAAAATAGGCGCATGGTGATTCCACTCGAACCAGGCTCGATTGATCAGCGCGGGACGCAAGATACATATTTCACGCAGGTCGTCGGATAAACATCCTTTTGTCCGAACGGCGCCTAGTAGCGAATTCCAGCCTGTAAATCCACCCAGACGGTATATCAGCTAGCGACTCGTAAATCACATCAAATTAGAATTGCAGGCGCAGATAGAGGCGCCCGTGCAATTCAATTGCAAGCCTGGAGATCTCAGGGCTTCTTTTTTGATCTGTATGTTTACTAACCGTCGGTAAGCTTTGGTGAGTGGAGTAGGGCACGATCCAAAGGGAGCAACTGTCCTCCGCGACGCCGCCTAACGCGTTCGTAGATACTGGCATCCTCGGCTGGTAGTCCTTCAGCGGATTCTGGCGTGTAGTTGAGCTTCATGGCGCTGGAAGTGAGAGTTCAAGGTTGTAGTAACTTGTGTTCTCTGAATGGAACCAAGTCACGCCTCTGGCGCAAGTTTAAATAAACATGCGTCTCGGCAACCCGAGGCCTTGAGATTTTATCGATGAGCCCCAGTGTGACACCTCGGGACTCGGCTGTCCAAGTTCCGGCCTGACCAACTAGTCCAATCAGTTGGTATTATGCGCTCCGGCTTCTTTTACGAAGTTCTCTCTGAAGGCCATTAGCTCGGGTTTTTACTGGTCGAGTGGGAAGCCCAAGTCCTAGGAGCAGCAATACCGATAGTATGTTCGTCCACCGAGGTACTTATCCACATAGCGCAGTGAGGATTTTCTCAGCAATCTACCAGTCCCCAAAATCTGCGTACAAATGGCAGATTATTCGATCTATCAAGGCCCTGTGCCTGAATGGGAAGAGTTTGTGAGGGCGACAAACTACGTCAATGCCTCCCTTGAAGGCGTCACACCTGAACAATTGCGCGAAGCCACCAATGCCGCTCGCATTCAAGCGTCTCGAGCATTGATAAGTTCACTAGGTTGGTTTGACATGCCCTTTTGTTCTGTTTTTGCTGTAGGAATACACAGACTTATTCAGTCACTTTCTTACACTTGTTATTTCTCATCCTCTCCTTCAATCTACTAATTTCTCTTTGTCCGGGCCGGCAGGGCTCAACGACAGCGTCATTTGGCATGACTATTCCATCTTGACGCGCGACCAACAGAACATCATAGCTCGAGTCTACCGACCACGTCATTTGGAAAAGCCACAAGGGCTGCCGGTCTTTCTCCATTTCCATGGCGGCGGCTTCCTCTATGGCAACGTCGAGTCCGAAGACTCCAGCTGTGCGCGCATCGTAGCGGCCTGTTCAACTCCTGTCATGGTAATCAACGTCAACTATCGTCACACGCCCGAGTATAAGCATCCGACAGCACATAACGATGCGTGGGATTCGTTCGAATGGCTATCCGAGAACATTTCCGCACTTGGTGGCGATCCCAACCGAGTCATCGTCGGTGGTGTCTCAGCTGGCGGATGCCTGGCCGCTTCGATTGCCCTGCGATATGCTGAAGACAAAATGAAAGACATGGGGCAGCCTTCGTCTTCATCCTCTCCTTACTGTACCATTCAAGGACAAGTACTCTGTATCCCGTGGCTTGTCCATCCCGCCGTCCACCCTTCGGCCGCGGCGACTCTTTCGTCGTTCAATCAGAATCAGATGGCCCCGGTCCTTCCCGCGGCAGCCCTCACGCTATTTGCGAATCTGCTCGGTGACGCTGCCAAATTGGACCCATACTTTAATGTCGCCCTCGCACCAGATGAGACTCTGGCCCACTCACCTAAGTCGGCCTTCTTAATCGCAGGCCAGGACCTCCTGCGCGATGAAGGATTGTATTTTGCCGAAAAACTAAAGAAAAATGGGTATGGTTCGATATTGATCATTAGTCTTACTTTGAACTCCTCCCCCTCGTCCGCCCGATGTGCCGATCTGAGTTCAGTCTCACTTAAGTCTAAGCAGATCTCATCAGCAACTCCCTCAATAAGCCCCCAACCCAGGACGCTGTGTATTTTATCCGGAATAGTTGCTAACACGATTAATTGTGCCAAGTATCCCTACCAAGACTGCCGTATTTCCTGGTCTACCACACGGCTTCCGAAGATTTCCAGAACTTCGGTCCACAGCGAGATGGGAGGAATTGATTGTCGAGAGTCTTGAATGGTGTTTGTGCGACGACACGACGTCCACGTTTCGGGTCGAACGGGTCGAGTACAACTGAGAATGCTAATGCCAAGACTAAAATAATAGATTTTCGGAGCCGTGAAATTGATAGACAAGAGAAAAAGAGGAGATACAAGGTGTAAGATGGCCTGCACTGATAAGTCGCGAAGGGCCAATGGAGAAGGAGAACGAGGCAAGAACAAGGCATTCAAATCATCACGTCTGAAGGAAATGTAGTAGCATGATAGAAATGTCGTCGGGAAAGTATCATTTGCAAGTAGCGATAGATATAGGCCGTAGTTATTTCGTGAAACTCACATAAAAGGCTATGCAGACATATCTCTGAGCAACTGGCCGACACGAATAACAGTCTAAACCATTCCATGATTCAATCCAATCCTACCGGTCTCCAGATACATATATTTCTGTCAGACTGAAACCTAGTCGCTCAGCGGATTGTGTTGTAGGCTCTGACGCCCTCTCTGCTTAGTGCCTAGTTGATTGTTTTTATATGCCAGGATGCCGACCCCCGTCTTGCTCGTACAATTGCTCCGCCAATTCGGCCGTCAGTCCTTTTCATCTTTCTGTTGGAGCATGAAAGTCTGGTCCTCTTGTTCCTGCAAATTTGTCTTGTATAGACTTTGTGGTTGTTGAGAGAGTTGTCGTTGTCGTTTGAGAGTGGCATAGTGGAGTGCTCCACTCTCTCCTTGTGCCTGTATCTAGAGACTCGTTAAACCCTTGTCGGGAGCATACTCATCTGACGATTTCAAACTTCTTACATCTAATCTACCAAAATCTCCAACATCGCCTTCCAACTCACTAGGAGACATACCACGCTAAATCGTTGTCATCGTCTAACTCGTACGTAGTAAACCCATTGCCCATAAAGCTAAACTTGTTCTTGGATCGATATTCGATGTTAAAGTCCTCGCCGCGGATATCGGATATCATACGGCGGAATACCAGAGCACTTCCTGGAAATGTGGCTGTCACGCGCCCGTCGGTCCGATTCTTCTTGTACCAGCTACGACAAGCGCCGGTCCAGGTTAGCGTGCTGTGAATCTGGTCTCCGTAGGAAATAAAGTCGTCCACCGTGCTTTGTTTTGGCTCCACGGACTTGATGTCCTCGCAGGACATCTTCTTGATCCATTTAATCATGTAGTCCGAGGCCCAGCTCAGGCCTTCTATCAGCGAGCCGTGGCCGACCACTGCATTAGGGCCCGTAAAAATAAAATAGTTCGGCATGTCGGGGCAGGCAAGAGATAAATACGACTCGGGTTCGTCCGCCCATTTCTCTGCCAGGCTGACTTTATTTCGACCAATAACCGGGTATGAAGGGCAGTGCGAGACATCGAAGCCCGTTGCGCAAACCACTAGATATAATTTGTTAGATTTAGAGTAAAAAAAGAGTTAGGAGTTGTGCTACCGACCTATATCCACTGGGTGCGTTTGGCCATCTTCAGTCAGGATGGCGTTTTTAGTAATTCTCATGATAGGGCTCTGTGTTAGGTGTACGTTGGGCTTAAGAAATGCTTCCAAGTAGCCCGCTCCAGGGGTGACTCGTCGACAACCGAGCTCCCACTTTGGAATCAGCTTTTCACAGAGATCCGGGTCATGATTCAGTTTCTCAGCCATCTGCCGGCTGGCAAACTTGCTATGTTCGACGTTGTCCACGGACCCTTTAACAAACTAATAGTAGAATGCTGTTAGTAATTTCCCTGCCTTAAGTAGTAATACACTAAACAAAATGGAAAGAATAATAATAGAGCAAGAGCACGACGTACCATCTTAAACGCCTTATTGATATTATGGATGAGTTGCTTGCGATACTGATGGTGCGCTTCTGAATCTAAGCGGAAATTCCGCTTGTCAGTCTCTGTGTAGGCCGGGTTCGAACCAATATTGGGCTTCCCTAGAAGTTTCCCGGGATCCATCCTCGACACAATCCATGTAGGTCCTCGTTGGAAGCTGGTCACATCGGCACCCTCGGCTTCAGCCAACTTGGGCAGAATCTGGATGCCCGAGGAGCCATTGCCAATCACGGCTATGCGTTTGTTCGTGGGATTAATCGAATGGTCCCAGGCGGCTGAGTGCAGTTTTGGGCCCTCGAAATCATCTAGGCCCGGAATGTCAGGCCAATTCCATGCATTCAGAAACCCCTGTCCCGAAACCACAATATCGGCCCACTCCTCGCGTGTTACGCCCGCGTGCTCAACCATGACTTTCCACAGTCCGGATTCCTCTTGCCAGTATAGACCTACCACGCGAGTATTGAATTGTACGTCGCGGTCCAGGTTCCATTTGCGCACAGTCCGAACAAAATACTCCTGGATCTGAGCACCGGTTGAGTAGAAATAATCCCAATCTGGATTAGGGTCAAAGGGGAAGGCGTATATATGCGAAGGCACATCACATTGAACTCCGGGGTATGTGTTGACCAGCCAGGTGCCGCCGACCTCAGAGCGTGACTCGAAGATGGTGTTTGTGGTGATTTCTTCCATCTCCGGATGTTCGTAACGCAGTTTGTGCGCAAATATCATGCCCGAAAACCCAGCTCCGATGGTTATCACGCGTAGTTTTCGCGGCGTATATGCTGGCTGGGTTACCAATGGCGGTTTCGACTTTGTTTTGGTGATTGCTGGAGTTTTGGTATTCAACCCATTTGTCAGGACTGGTGCTGACAGTTCCATCTCGCCATTGACGAGCTTGTTCTTGGGCATGTCAATCACCACGCCGTTGCCCATTCCGATGGAAAGGGACTCCGCAACGAGGGACGCCATCTTGATCGATTGTTTGATAGTTTTGCTTTCTTTCTACGGCAGTAAAAACTCTCTTTGAATCCGCCTCCGAGGCATTCTACATCCTCTCTAACCTATATGTATGACCATCCCTGGCTAGAAAGCTGTTTGTCCACCAAGCCGGATACTATGCATAAGCCGAAGTATTTGGGTTAGCGGAACTCATTGCCGAAGCGTTGAGAGAGGGCCGGAGGTGAAAACCCGACCCCTGAACTACTCTTCTGGATACAAGCAAACAACCCGAGTGCATCGCCAAACTTTTGGTTTGAAAGAACATTCCGCCCCTGCATCAGACCACGCTCGTGTCACGACTCACTACACCACAATACCGCGTCTCTCAAAATGCCTCGGATTGGTCACTCTCCACAGAGGTTACTCGGTCTCGGACTTGGGCGACCACTCAAGGGAAACTCGCGCAATTCTTCACACTTCTTTCAGGCGAGAATGGTCGCGACGTACAGTGACATGCAAGGCAAAATCGCATTGGTCACAGGAATCGGCCAGGCTCATCAGTCCAAGGACCCAAACATATGGGGAAACGGCGCTGCAACAGCTCGGCTGCTAGCTCGAAACGGGGTTAAAATCGTAGGATGCGACCTCGATATCAAAGGGGCTGAAACTGCTAAATCGAGAATCCTGTCCGAAAACCCTGGGGCGTCGGTCGATGTGTTTGCAACGGATGTGACTCAATCGACGCAAGTGAAAGACTTGGTTGCGGCCGCAGTGGAAAAATATGGGCGCATTGACTATCTGATCAACAACGTCGGCCTGTCGCGTCCTGGAGGTCCTGTGGAATTGACCGAAGAGGTGTGTAGAAAACCAAAGATACTTGTCTTGATATCCCTCCCAAATCATGCAAGAGCAGCCAGCACTCAAAGATCAAAGTCCAGTACTGATCTCCTCACCTGCGGCTCGTCTAGGCTTTCGAGCAGCAACTCAAGGTCAACCTGACGTCGGCCTTCCTCTGCTGTAAGCAGGTTCTTCCTGTGATGGTTAAGCAACAGTCCGGCTCCATAATCGCCACCAGCTCGATCGCTGGCTTAGGCTACATGGGTAAAGCGCACATTGGATACGCAACCACCAAGGCAGCGCTGTTAAATTTTGCAAAATGCGTTGCTGTGCAATACGCACCCTGGGGAATCAGGTACGATTTGGTTTTGTTTATGCGGCGAGCCCCCAGCCGAGGCGGCGGATTCATGTCCAAGCCTATGTTCTTTCGGATTTGTCTAACTCAAGCCCAGGATCAACGCCGTCATCCCTGGCCTGATCGCGACGCCATTGGTCGAGAGACTAGCTGATGAATACCACGAGGGCAACTACGAAGGTCTCATGAAACAGAGAGGGGGAGGTGTTCCTCTGGGCCGACAAGGCACCGCGGATGAGGTAGCTAATGCTACTCTGTTTCTCCTTTCCGACGCTGCCAGTTATATCACGGGCACGAGCCGGACTGTAGATGGAGGCACTACCGCCGTGGTGTGTAATTATGGGTAGATCAGAGCGAAGAGATTCGAAGCGAATGCAAGCCGTTTATAGACAGCCTCGGTACCACCGTTAGCCGATAACAAGGCCTAGACAGATCTAGCCAGGTCCAGATCTATTCAGCGGACGGCTTGTTGCCCAGTGCAAATAGTGCATAGATAGCCAGAGTCTCTAGCAGGCATGGAGCACACGATCAAGCAGATAGAATCACTCTCACTCTGTGTACAACACTTCGACCCTGCACCGAGCATCGATACTTTAGCGGGATAGAAATGTGGAGAAGAAACAGCCATACATGTGACGTTAGAATACCATTGGTACATAATACTACTTGTGGAATTCGATTTTCAAGAATCGAGACAGCCTTCACTGAATTCTGTTACATCGATACCGTATGATGTAGCTGAATAAAGTCCCTAGCCGATATCTGACTCACTAGACACTACTTTGGTAGTCGGCTGTTCCTCCAGAGAAACCAAATCCGGCGGTAGAACCTTCATAATCCAGCTAATGCTTTTCGGACTTCCAATGTCCGAATACCCGCTAAATCCATGCCGTACTTCTCGACATGGTTGACGATGCCTGCATTGGACCAGTGACAAGATTCTCAGTGCTCGGATACTACCCTGTATGTATTTCCCGGAATGTAATTCACTTTCATGATGGAATTGGAATCAAAAATTATACACCCTCATCATCTGATATATCCATAGCACCTGTTAGTCTCCCTGAGATTGTTTGATTGTCACCATTTCTGTCAGCCCATGTTCATTGTCGTTATCACCAACATGGCATATCTATTCCGGTCTGAGGTTAATGGCATGAACAGCGCTACCAAAGAGCCCGTCTTCGATATCCCCGCGCAGTGCAAGGCCGGGGTGGTGGTCAACGAGGGTCCCGACTTTCACATCGAGGTCCAGATGGTTCCCGTCCCTGAACCTGGTAAGATAATCTGCCCGTCTGCCGGCATGGCTATGTTTGAATAAGTCTTCAATGGCGTATGGTGCTAAATCACCAGGGAGACACTACCGTCAAAGGTATAGAAGCTGACGACTACCGATCCCCCAGGCCCGGATGAACTGCTTATCAAGCTCAACGCGACGGGAATATGCTTTTCAGATCTCCATTTCGCCATGGGCGACCTGGGGACGCCTCCCATGTCGTCTTTCGGAGTGCGCTCACCTGGCCACGAAGGCGCTGGTGTTGTTGTCAAGGTAGGCTCCAACGTGCATGACTGGAAGGTCGGCGATCGGGCAGGCATGAAGCCGCGATGGTCGGTCTGTGGAGAGTGTGATTTATGTCTGGATGACAAGGAGACGTATTGTCGTAAGTCAGTGCTGTTGGGTCTTCATAAATCTGGGTATGTGCCACAGTGTTCACAGCATGTATTAATATTTGTTTGACATTTGAACCCTTGGATTTCAACATGAAAAGGCTGAATCAGAAAGGAATATGGTGCTAATTCTACCGGTATAGAACATATCAACAGTACATACTCCCCAGAAGTCAGAACGTATATCAGCAGGAGAAAAACTAAATAAGCATGACCAGATACGTAACCTCGCCGGCGCACTATACACAGAGAATCCCCGACGGTGTTGACGACTATTCAGCCGCCCCGATCATGTGCTCGGGCGGAACGGTCTATCGAGCATTAAGACTGGCCAATCTTAAAATCAACAATTGGGCAGTGTTTCCTGGCGGAGGTGGCGGGGTCGGAATCCAAGGGGTTCAACTGGCAGCGGCAATGGGATTGAGGACTGTTGTGGTCGACACGGGTGCTGAAAAAGAAAAGCTCGCCCTCTCTCGAGGAGCAAAGGCCTTTATCGACTTTAAGCGGGTCAAGGATCCCGTGGCAGAAGTAATCAAGATCACCGATGGGGTAGGCGCTCACGGTGTCTTTGTCACCGCGGGCTCGTCATACCCTATGGCCATTTCATACACAGGCACTCGGGTGGGCGCGACAGTTATGTGCATCGGGCTGCGTAAGTTTTTTATGTCTCTCAGTCTCTCTGTTTCTGAGCTTTCCTGGACTGAAAAAAACTAATACCAAAACACAGCGCATAAATCAGATGTTACTATTACCGCTTCTCCGGCCAAATTCATTACCCAGGGTCTTGCTGTACGAGGGTCGGTGGTTGGCAGCAGGGCTGACATTGCTATGGCGCTCCAATGTGCGGCGGCCGGTAAATTGTCAGGTGACCATACAATATATCCTATCGACAAGCTACCTGAGGCAGTAGAGAGGATCAGACGAGGAGAGGCTATCGGACGAGGGGTAGTTGACTTCAACCTATAGATACACCGTCAACGCCGTAGTCTTATACCTGTAAGAGAAGGCTAGTACGAAATAGATCGATCAATAAATGCACAGAACGATATATATCCTCTTTATACTCAGCGTATATACCGTAACAGAGCACTCCCGGGTTCGGCATGCACGTGCAACAATGCACAGAGCCCTGTCCAGCAGGTCGGGAATCGAGAACGCGTTTCTGGTCGCCGCTGGGAGACCAACACCACCACCAACACCGACCCCTGAGAGGCAGCGGCTAGGGGAGCGAGCGCCTAGCACGGCGACAGCAATTAGTAGTGGGAAAGGACCGATAAAACACTCAGTAGTAGGTAGACGACATCGAAAACATGGAATACTCTGTCAAAACTATCAAGAATGGCACACTGCCAGCACTTTTAACTGTTCAACACCCCCCCCTTAGTCCTTTTTGGTTTGACATGTGACCAGCCAAATCTCCTTCCTGCCATCACCCATGCCATCCCAGCACTGCCACTTTGCCTTGTTACAGTATTATGTCATGAAGGTCGTTCAAGCTATCAAATGGGGAGTGAAAGAAGCAAGATGGTCTGTTTGCCAAGTGGAGTTAAACTGCAAGCGCTTCACCCCAGATCAGTGAAGAGCGTGACGCCCCTTGGCAGATTGCCTCACGGTCAATCGAAGAAGGAAGAATACCAGGTAGTCCAGATGGAGGTTGACATTCCGAGTGTAGTAATATTTCTGAAACATGCACCGAGCCAAGCGTGCTAATATGTCTGGCAAAGACTATAAAAAGTCGATGCCACTGGACATTTCTATATCAAGATAATGGGTAAAGGGAGATATCAGGACCTCCCTCTTGTGATATCCGGAATACCCATGCGACTAGCTTTGGATTTAAACATACAACTCGGAAAAGAGACACCTCCAACAGCAAAGATGCGGACCGTCACCGTGGTGGGTTCTCTCAATGTCGATATCCAGGTTTCCTCAGAGAGAATACCTCGGACAGGCGAGACACTTTCAGCCTTTGGACTGCCGCTCAACCCTGGTGGCAAGATCCCAACCAGGCTGGTGCTTGCAATCGCCTAGGCTACCCCGATCAAGTTAAATTCCGTATGTTTGGAGCCGTTGGAAACGACCCATTTAGCGATATGCTCACTCGGTAGATGAAGGCAGATCGTCTCCAACACAGCCCACTCCTGGTATTTGTGGGTGCAAATGCCAAAGGAAGACAGGTCTTCCTGAGTATAACAACGATTTCAGCGCCGGATATGGTCATCATGCAGTTCGAAATTGACGTCGAAGATGCTTCATATCTTGGAAAGAGCCCCACAGCATGAACCGCCCATATGAGTGTTACCCAAATCCGGTTCCTACTCGAAATCTACCTGACGAGGTTCTTCGCTTGGTTAGGATTCTTGTTCTCAACGAGACAGAAGCCACGATCCTCTGTGGCTACGACGAGGATGTCAAAGTGAAAGAAGACCTAGCTAGCCAGTTCGCCCAGGACTTATGCAAAAATGCGTGCATACCGTGGTGGTAACAGCAAAAGGCTATGTCAACAGAGTTAAGATTTATACCCACAACGCTCGCCGATACCGCTGCCGCAGGCGACACTTTTGTCGCAGCCCTGGCTGTGAAATTACTCTCCCAGACGTCGAGTTCGCATCTGGAACCTGTGGTGCGTTGGGCCACAAGATGCGCAGCTTGTAACGGTCAGTCGATCTGGAGCGCATTCTTCGATTCCCTGGGCCCGTGAAGTCCCGGATGAAAACTGACACTCTAGATCAAGCAACTAGTATCAAAACACTTGTTGTAATCTGGCGGTTGCTGCAACGGTCCCTCCTCCACAGCAGCTACTCTCACGATGAGCGTTTAGGTCAAGACCAATTCAGCTCAGCCTGGCACTGATGATGATTGATCTTGTCTAAAATAGGCCTCAACGTTCGTGCGCCGAACGCAATGTCCCTTTTGGCTGGCAGACCAATTTTAGAAGAGGATGGGATGGTTCTTCACGATCCCTGATGGCCCAGCGTTGAAAAGTCACGTCAGTCCAATCGACGAATTACTAATAAATGTTGGGCTGCGCTCGCGGCACTCAACGTCTTTCTGCCCAAGCGAGGTGCATACATGGAGACGCCAAACTTGGGACCGAATGCAACAGCGGGGTCCAGGGGAATGTCAAGGGTTTAACTGTGTTGAAATATCCTTTACCTTTTTTCACCCACGATATGCATATAGCCCCCCGGGCCAACCTTTCAAAATTCGTTTGTTTGGAGTTGTTTGATGCTGACAGAATACTCATCCGGTCTGGGACGGGTTCGGCAGAGGAAGAAGAGTGTTGGTGTAATTGGGAATATGGACAGTAAGCACGGAGGAAGTGGCGCTTGAAGTCGTTGTATAAAACATCCACTGAAATCCGGAATCCGCTACAAGACCCGGATGTCGGTTTCCTCCTCCACCATGCAATGTATTATGAACTTCCTCAGCTTCAACAGCTGAGTTCACTAGAGTCCAATTCTACCCAAAGAATTCATGTTCGGGGTGGAGATCCCTCCAAGGGTCCTGTTGATCTTCAAGCAAGGTTGCCTAGGAACGTTTCCAACATCTCAGGCCACCCGAGGCCTCCAAACTGATATGACGTTCGCATGGAGGAAAACAAACACTTGAAATGTCGGCCTTAACTTTTCAGGTGGCTCCTCCAATGGCCAAGGCAGGTAAGTCTGCCAAGAGCCAG